CATTTTCCAGTCGTAGTAAAATCAATGACATTGTCTTCATGGAGCGGGCGATGGTTTCCGGGATGGTTGACGTTGCCGACGAATTAATCGGTATTGGGTTCGTCCGATTTAATGTCTTGGAGTTCGTACGCTCAGGAACAGTTGTGAGTGAGGACTTCGGGCTCTCCTTGATGTCTTCAAAGATATGTTGGGTGCCATGTTTCCTTGGGGTTGACTCCTCGGTGGACGGAACACTGCCGATGATATCTCCGATGGAACACTGAAAAAAAAAAAAAAAAATAAATAAATAACAACAAGTAAATTAGATGTGGTCGAGTCGGAGGCTCAGAGAAGAATGAATTCTCAGTGGCTCGAGTGTCGGTTTTTATATTGTTGCAAACAATAGATTGTTTACGATTTGGTGATTGATTGGATGCCTAATGACTATTTAATGACTGTTTGTCGTTCGTTTCCAGGAAATCCAGGTAGATGTATCCACTCATAATGGGTTTTTCCCATCCCAAATCGTTGTTTCCAATCTTCGACATTCAATGAGTCATTAGGCGTTCGAAGGGATTTCCAAAGATGCATCCAACTCAAGTGCATTCAACTCAAACCGACATTCACTGACTCATTGGCGTGTTTTTTTACGGCTTTATTAGCGTACGAAAAAATCGGAAAAAAATTCTATCCTACGTAACTCGACGAGATCTATCGAAATATCGAGCCGGATTTTTGTGAAAATTACGCCTTTTTTGGAATTTTCGGTTGATATCTCCGAAACTACGCCAACGATTTTTTTCAAACTTTTACCACAAATTCTTTAATTTTTTTGCCATTTTTGCACGCAAATCGCATTTCTTCAAAAAGTCATTTCACCAAGTTATAGGGAAATGAAATTTTACCGGAATTAAAATTTTAAATAAATACACTCCGTTTACTCGGAAACTATAGGGTTTTCGAAAAAAATTTATTCTTTCAAAACTATTAATTCAAGTTTCATTTAACTAACAAAACAAACCCGATAACGATATCTTAACCCGTTCAAAAGTTATAGCAAAAAAAAGAATTCCCGGCCGGCCGCCGTGCCAGCGCGTGTGACGTCACATCGCTCTATTACTAAACTACTACTACTATTACTAAATTCTGGTGACATATTACTAGATTCTGGTGACATATTACTAGATTCTGGTGATATATTATTAGATTCTGGTGATATATTACTAGATTCTGGTGATATATTACTAAATTCTAATGATATATCACTAGATTCTGGTGATCACTAGATTCTGGTGATCACTAGATTCTGGTGATCACTAGATTCTGGTGATATATCACTAGATTCTGGTGATCACTAAATTCTGGTGATATATCACTATATTCTGGTGATATATCACTAGATTCTGGTGATTTATTACTAGATTCTGGTGATTTATTACTAAATTCTGGTGATATATCACTAGACTCTGTTTATCACTAGATTCTGGTGATACGTCACTAGATTCTGGTGATCACTAGATTCTGGTGATATATCACTAAATTCTGGTGATATATCACTAAATTCTGGTGATATATCACTAGATTCTGGTGATAAACTACTAAATTCTGGTGATATATCACTAGATTCTGGTGATATATCACTAGATTCTGGTGAGATATCACTAGATTCTGGTGATCATTGGATTCTGGTGATTTATTACTAGATTCTGGTGATTTATCACTAGATTCTGGTGATTTTTTACTAAATTCTGGTGATTTATCACTAGATTCTGGTGATTTTTTACTAAATTCTGGTGATTTATCACTAGATTCTGGTGATATATTACTAGATTCTGGTGATATATCACTAGATTCTGGTGATTTATCACTAGATTCTGGTGATTTTTACTAAATTCTGGTGATTTTTTACTAAATTCTGGTGATTTATCACTAGATTCTGGTGATATATTACTAGATTCTGGTGATTTATCACTAGATTCTGGTGATATATTCACTAGATTCTGGTGATTTATCACTAGATTCTGGTGATTTATCACTAGATTCTGGTGATTTTCTACTAAATTCTGGTGATTTATCACTAGATTCTGGTGATTTTTTTACTAAATTCTGGTGATATATTACTAGATTCTGGTGATTTATCACTAGATTCTGGTGATTTATTACTAGATTCTGGTGATTTTTTACTAAATTCTGGTGATTTATCACTAGATTCTGGTGAATTATTACTAGATTCTGGTGATTTTTTACTAAATTCTGGTGATTTATCACTAGATTCTGGTGATATATTACTAGATTCTGGTGATTTATCACTAGATTCTGGTGATATATTACTAGATTCTGGTGATTTATCACTAGATTCTGGTGATTTATCACTAGATTCTGGTGATTTATCACTAGATTCTGGTGATTTATCACTAGATTCTGGTGATTTTTTACTAAATTCTGGTGATTTATCACTAGATTCTGGTGATTTTTTACTAAATTCTGGTGATTTATCACTAAATTCTGGTGATTTATCACTAGATTCTGGTGATTTTTTACTAAATTCTGGTGATTTATCACTAGATTCTGGTGATATATTACTAGATTCTGGTGATATATCACTAGATTCTGGTGATTTATCACTAGATTCTGGTGATTTTTCTAAATTCTGGTGATTTTTTACTAAATTCTGGTGATTTATCACTAGATTCTGGTGATATATTACTAGATTCTGGTGATTTATCACTAGATTCTGGTGATATATTCACTAGATTCTGGTGATTTATCACTATATTCTGGTGATTTATCACTAGATTCTGGCGATTTTTTTACTAAATTCTGGTGATTTATCACTAGATTCTGGTGATTTTTTACTAAATTCTGGTGATTTATCACTAGATTCTGGTGATTTTTTACTAAATTCTGGTGATATATTACTAAATTCTGGTGATTTATCACTAGATTCTGGTGATATATTACTAGATTCTGGTGATTTTTTACTAAATTCTGGTGATTTATCACTAGATTCTGGTGAATTATTACTAGATTCTGGTGATTTTTTACTAAATTCTGGTGATTTATCACTAGATTCTGGTGATATATTACTAGATTCTGGTGATTTATCACTAGATTCTGGTGATATATTACTAGATTCTGGTGATTTATCACTAGATTCTGGTGATTTATCACTAGATTCTGGTGATTTATCACTAGATTCTGGTGATTTATCACTAGATTCTGGTGATTTTTTACTAAATTCTGGTGATTTATCACTAAATTCTGGTGATTTATCACTAGATTCTGGTGATATATTACTAGATTCTGGTGATTTATCACTAAATTCTGGTGATTTATCACTAGATTCTGGTGATATATTCACTAGATTCTGGTGATTTATCACTATATTCTGGTGATTTATCACTAAATTCTGGTGATTTATCACTAGATTCTGGTGATTTTTTACTAAATTCTGGTGATATATCACTAGATTCTGGTGATATATCACTAGATTCTGGTGAGATATTACTAGATTCTGGTGATCATTGGATTCTGGTGATTTATTACTAGATTCTGGTGATTTATCACTAGATTCTGGTGATTTTTTACTAAATTCTGGTGATTTATCACTAGATTCTGGTGATTTTTTACTAAATTCTGGTGATTTATCACTAGATTCTGGTGATATATTACTAGATTCTGGTGATATATCACTAGATTCTGGTGATTTATCACTAGATTCTGGTGATTTTTCTAAATTCTGGTGATTTTTTACTAAATTCTGGTGATTTATCACTAGATTCTGGTGATATATTACTAGATTCTGGTGATTTATCACTAGATTCTGGTGATATATTCACTAGATTCTGGTGATTTATCACTAGATTCTGGTGATTTATCACTAGATTCTGGCGATTTTTTTACTAAATTCTGGTGATTTATCACTAGATTCTGGTGATTTTCTACTAAATTCTGGTGATTTATCACTAGATTCTGGTGATTTTTTACTAAATTCTGGTGATATATTACTAGATTCTGGTGATTTATCACTAGATTCTGGTGAATTATTACTAGATTCTGGTGATTTTTTACTAAATTCTGGTGATTTATCACTAGATTCTGGTGATTTATTACTAGATTCTGGTGATTTTTTACTAAATTCTGGTGATTTATCACTAGATTCTGGTGATATATTACTAGATTCTGGTGATTTATCACTAGATTCTGGTGATATATTACTAGATTCTGGTGATTTATCACTAGATTCTGGTGATTTATCACTAGATTCTGGTGATTTATCACTAGATTCTGGTGATTTATCACTAGATTCTGGTGATTTTTTACTAAATTCTGGTGATTTATCACTAGATTCTGGTGATTTTTTACTAAATTCTGGTGATTTATCACTAAATTCTGGTGATTTATCACTAGATTCTGGTGATTTTTTACTAAATTCTGGTGATTTATCACTAGATTCTGGTGATATATTACTAGATTCTGGTGATTTATCACTAGATTCTGGTGATATATCACTAGATTCTGGTGATTTATTACTAGATTCTGGTGATATATTACTAAATTCTGGTGATATATTACTAGATTCTGGTGATAAATAACTAGATTCTGGTGATATATTACTAGATTCTAGTGATAAATAACTAGATTCTGGTGATATATTACTAAATTCTGGTGATATATTACAAAATTCTGTTTACCGGGAAAATCGTTGTTTACAATCTTCGACATTCAACGGGTCCCCCAATATGCATCTTTGGGATTTTCCAATGAATGTCGAAAAACCGTGTACCGACGCTCGACGTCTCGCGGGAGAACACCCTACCCTACCCTAAAAGAAGGCGCTGAATGCGAAAATCGATGTTTCGAATTTCGGAATGATCATCTTCGGAGTGAAATTGAGGGAAAACGAGTTTTTTTACGTTTTTTTTTTTTGTTTTTTTAGTTTTTTTGAGTTTTTTCGAAATTTCTCCAAACGATTTTTTTCAATTTTTTAGAGTTTTTGTCATTGTTAAATAAATATGTGATATAAAATATAACTTTTATTATTACAGAAAAAAGATGACCAATTTCCATTGCCTATAAAAACAAACAAAACAGAAAAACACAAATCAGGTCCGTTATTTCTGTACAATCTGTACTACATTAAACACGTGCTCTAAATATTCTAAATACAACATATAAAATAATATATAAATAATCATAGAAAAAAAAATACTGAAAAACAAATTTAAATAAACTGCGAATTATAATAAATTGAATAATATGTAACAAATTGGGACGAAGAAAGCCGAAGAGGACATCGTCATTCCGGTGAAACTGGCGAAAACGAACCAAAGCAGAGAAAACAGCAAAACTTGCCATAAAACGTGGACTCCCAATAAACTAAAAAAAAATAAAAACGACTTTAGAGAAATTTTGTTACATACAATTGCAATTGAAACTTACATGTTATCCTTGGTTTTAGCTTTGCTCAAATTTTTCATGGGCTCCTTATTTAAATAAACGCGAGATCCCTTCGCTAAATCGCCGAAATAATCACACCAAATCAATCCCTCTAATGAAATATTGAAAGTTTCCCTGTCACTCTGATTCAGCCATTTCTAAAAAAATTGAAAAAAAAATTATAATTTTTTGAATATTCGACAATCTCGAAATTTTATTAAAATATCTATACAAGCGAGAAATAAAATTATAACATACCTGCAATTCGTCAGTTTTGTTTGAATGAAATTTCCATTCGGAAAATATGAATTTCGACAGCATCCCCAACGATTTATTCACGTTTTTGTGCAATTTTACCAAGCTAAAAAAAATAATCAATAAACAGTCATTAATTTGAACAGATTTGTATTAAGTAAAGTAAAGGGTCGATGAAGAAATAAATAATTTTGTTTTGTTTAAAATAATAAATAAAAAATAAGTCCATATACTCACATTGGTCTACCACCCGTCAATCGAGCGACTGTATCCAATATAATAGCCGGAAAGAAATGAACAAATAAAGCGGATATTTTATACCAAGTAATAGAAGGTAGGAATTTCATGTGAGGATACCAAACGGCGCTTTTCAAAGGCCAATTGTGTAAATAAACGTTAAATTTATGTTCGACATCTGCCCAATGGAATGGCAATCTCGTACTCGATGTAGCGTGATAAATTGATACTTTCGATGGTTTGGTTACACCTAAAATAATTCGAATATTATTAATTTCTATCTATCTATATTTTCTTCTACTTTTTTTGCAATATTTGTAATTATTGCAATTTTTTTCAATTTCTCTCTCTCTCTCTCTTTCGCTCACTTTCTCAAAAGTTAAACCAACCTGTGTAAAAACCAGCAGCAATCAAATTATTGATAACAATATCGACGGGAATATAATCATAAATTAATTCTTTTGCCACGGGTAATCTTCTGATGACCCCTTTGGCGGCGCCCATCATGAAACCTTGAGGACCATTTTTGCTTATAGTCCATCCAGGCATTGGCTCCTTCCAAGCCCCGACAACTGTGACAAAAAAAAAATTAAAATAAAAAATTGACTAATTACTAATGAAGGGTACGTCATCGAGTGCCCTAACCCCTGGATAAGGCCCATTTCACCTCATCGTTGTATTGTATACCATTAAGGGTAAATAACACTCATAATGACATTACCCTTTCGGGTAAAATGATCGTCAATTATTGACTTACTCATGCTCGGTCTGACGATGGTACAAGGAAAAATCGATTGGCATTTTTGAATTTCGTGTTCCGCCATGTGTTTGGTGATCGTATAAGTGTTGGGATGGTCGCCCAACAATTTGGGCGTCTCTTTTTGCAATTCGTCAGCGTTTAATTTCTTCACTATCGCTATCAATTCGTCGGCTTCTCTGGGCAATGGGTAAATGACCTAAGTAAAAGAAAAGGGAAAATTGTGAAATTCTCGAATTTGTGAAATAGCTTAAAATAAGCCTGGATTACGCCTGGAATTTCTGGGCGAATTTTCTATTCCTCTCAAGTTGAACAAGTTGAAATTAAAAACCTTATGATAAAGTGATAAAAAAATTAAATAAATAAATAGGTAGGTAGGTTACCAAATATATACCTCATCAGCTTCGGTCCTGTAAGAATTCACATAAGCACTGCTGACGTGCACGAGAACTGATAAATTTCTGCATTCTTTTGCCAATTTCGTTACCCTTCGGGTTCCCAATAAATTTATATTCACAGTCATATCGAGGGTATCCCCGAAATCTAAAGTGGCGGCCGAATGAAAAATAACTTGAACGTTTTCCGTGAGTAATTGCCAATCCGAAGTGGAAATTCCCAAATTTTCTTCACCTACATCGCCAGCGATTACCTTCACCTTCGAAAATACCTACGGATTCGATGATGTAAAAATAAGATTATATTATATAAAAAAAACCAAAAAAGTCAATTAACAACTACATAATATTATTCGAATGCCTAATTAATTAATTAATTATTCAATCGTTAATAAAATTGTTAATTTACGATCGCAATAAAACGAACCTCCTCGATGCTTTTATCCTTCAACAATCCTTCGAAAACTGAATTTTTCTTTATTTCGTCCAATCTTTCTTCAATGTCTTTTCCCCTTTTCTTCCTCATCAACAAATAAATCGTTCCGTGATCGGGAATCGTACGTAAAATCTTCTCTAATAAACAAATTCCCACGAAACCGCTACCGCCCGTTATGAAAATATTTTTGTCCTTGTAGAATCTCTTCACGCCCTCGGATGAACTCCTGAAAAAAATTTAAAAAATTAAAAAAATTAAAAAAAAAAAAACGTAATAGTCTATTGTTAGAAAACGTATACGTATTATTTATAATTCCTATATGTAAGTATATAAATTGTCAATTAATTGTTTTTTATATAAAAACATTGAAAGTTTACTGACCAAATACGCAATTTTTTATTGTATTACCAAGCAATCCGGTATACAAATATAAATTGTACATTAGCAAAATATTAACAGATATTTTACTAATATTAAATGAAAATTTTAATAATCTCATACAGGGTGTTAGAGTATGTATTCTAGAGAATTACCCCATAATAGAAATTTGTAATGTTGTATTTATTAACACCCTGTATAGAGTAGAACGACTTTCTATATTCAGGTGTATGGCAAGAATTTATACATATTTAACGATTTGTCCCACATACATACGTGATATTATATTATGATTTAAATTCGAGTTTTATTCGAGATTGCAAAATATATTAATTGATTATATTACATATTTACAAAATCATGTTATACTTTTAGACTTACTTTGAACATTGCATTTTTTCTTTTTTATGTTAAAATGTAAAACGGAGGTGTTTTAAAAGATATGTAGAAAGAAAACCTTTACATTTTTTTATTATTCCATTTAATTAAAATAATTGATTTTTTTATGAGTTCCAAGTGCAAATAAGAGTATATAATTTCACATAAATTCCTAGTAATTCGAAACTATTATAGCACCAATTATATAGCAAAACTTTCTACGTATTATACGGTAAACGTCAGTAGAATTAAATAATATTTTCATTTCAATTATTTAGTAAATTATTGCATCAGATCGATGGAAAATTAATTTTATTTCATTAAGTTATAGTAATTGGACGTAAACTACCATCATTATTATTATTATTATTTCATGCTATCCTCATAATATTTTTCATAACCAGATTTTATTATATTTTAACGATCATTTAAGTACAATGCCCGTCAAAATTTGTTGAACAAATCCGAAATTATTCGAATACTTTAAATGCCAGAAATTATTGTTAGAAATTACACTAATTAGAAATTATTTTTAAACTAAATGTTTACACAATTAGTATAATTTTCTTGGGAAACATTAAACAACCAATTAAGCGCAAAGTAAAGTGCATTTTTTATTTAATAATAACAGTTAGGTACTATTATGATTTATGTAAATTATGTACAAATAACTGCAATCTTTGCACTCTCATTTGAAGCATGTACTACGTATACGCAAAAGTACAAGGCAAAATACACAAGTAGCTACTATTATTAATTATTAAAAATTTTAAATATGCAATTGGAATCAAATATATTTGGTAAATATTAAAATTATTATTATGTAAGTGAGAAAGTCCTCATTCGGTGTATTACTCAACACAAATTTAAGTTAAAGCATAATATTGTGACAAAATTATAAATTTATTACACATTTTTATAGTTAGTAAAAGAAAATAACTAATGTACCTATACCTAATATAGTCATTTAAGCCATTTAACAAACCATTTTTCGTAAAAAAAGTGATACGCGGTTTTTATAACGTATTTTAAAACGGTATTAAATTGGAGATTTCGAGGCCAGTAAAAAATAAATATTGAAAACTATTCAAAACAAACTGGGTCATAGGGTCGAATTATTGACACTATTTAGGTAAACATAATAATAATTATTATTATTTATTATATATAATAGTAATAACCGTTTCCCTTAAAGTAATAACCTTTATAATGAGAAATTACAACCTAATTCAAATAACAAACATCAAAAATGTGAATATTTATACGCTCAAGTATAAACAAAATTTTCATAAATTAGACAAAAACGCAATAGAAAAGATCACAATAAACAATTAAAAAAAGTATTAAAAAAACGATACGACTTACATTTTCGAATTGATAACAGCAACACGACCAGCAAATACCAAATGGAAAGTATTTACGAATAACCGAGCTCGGCGAGAATAGAAAACGAGTAAAATTTATTTTCTTAATTGCCGGTTCGATCTATCGCAAGTAAAAGTAAACACCAATACAATTCCCCTACTTATAGCGATTAATATTGAAATTATTCTATATTCGGGCAATATCGCAAACGTGTTATTTGTTTATTATGCCATCTGTCAATGTCATTATTGTCACGTCAAACATTTACGTCTTCTGTTTGTTTATGGCCTCGTTATTCAAAGGTATCCAGCTAATTTGTCTATGTCATAAATGTCATATGTCAATATTGTCAATCATTTTCAACTTGTTTGTTTTTCAGTTTTTAATTATTTATATTTGATATTTACATTATTCGCTACAATTATACATAAATACATACATATACGAGAGTACACATCACAATTAACACATCACTGTGTAACTTTAAAAAATAATTAAGGCAAATGACATATCATTTCTATTTTCCATAACCGCCTCCATAACCGCCTCCGAAACCGAATCCACCGCCGCCACCGTAGCCTCCACCACCTCCGAAACCACCGCCGCCTCCGTAACCGCCACCACCTCCGTAACCACCGCCATAACCGCCTCCGTAACCGCCACCATAACCGCCACCGTGGTGTCCGTGATGACCGTGGTGACCGTAACCACCGTGTCCGTAACCCTTCTTGATAATTATAACCTTGGTGACGCCGCCACCTCCGTGATAACCGCCTCCCCAATGAGGTGCCCCGAGACTCGAAGGTAGAACGAAGGCGGCCATGATTAGGCCGCTAATCTGTAAAGTATACAAAAAGTATTTTATGATAAATTAGTTAATTTTGGTAATAATAACCGAGAGAAAAGTGTTACAACTCCTATATATAACCACTATATAATCTTGAGTTAAATAAAATAGCAAAAGTATGTACCTATATGTAAATTTTAAATCTTTCTTATTTAATTAATTAATTTTCAATTTAAATATTTATTATTTAGATATATGTATATAAATAAATAAGTATAGCTCACCAATACAATAGAAAATAATCCCTTCATATTCTCCCTAGAGCACACTTCTTAAACCACTAAATAAACAATTTATTTCAATAATAACTAATAATTTATTATAAAAAGTAAGTTATGTATAATTGCGATGAATGCAAAAGACAAATTATCCAAGCAAATAACAAATTCAATATTTATATACTCGCAGAAATAGCGAGATGAGTTCAGCCGGATTCATCAAGGATTTTCTCATTTTTTTTTTTTCATAGATAACTCAATAATTTTGTTATTTTTTTTTATTCTGGGATTTTACATTTACATTTTGCGCTCGTTTTTGCATGACGAACTATTTGCAATTGTAATTATATAGCGTGAAAATTTTCGGATATTTTGGTAAACACAAACGATTAAAAAAATGGAAGAAACAGGTGTGAATAAATAGGGTGTACCAAATCAATTAGTTCAAATATTAATAAATAAAATTCTTATTTCTCCCTCTAATTTTCCAACAAATGACAACACTGTACTCTTTTTATAGTCACATAATTATCGCTTTGACGCGAGTTTTACGCGAAAAAAAATTAATTTGTTAAGGAATTCCCGATGTTTACTAAAATTACGTTGGATAAATTTATTTCACATAAAAATTATGCAAATTAGAATAATTACGCTTATATTAAAGGCGGTAAATTTCGTTCTATTCATAAATAATAAACTTGTATGATGAGTAGATATTCCTTAAATTTTACTCACTATAATAATGCTCCTTAATCAATTACAAAATAATTGCTATATGATTTACCGAGATTGGTATTTTAAAGCATTACTAGTCAATTTGAATAGGTAAACATCTCACATCTGTGCTCAATTAAATGTTAATAATATCATTAAAGTGTTTACAAGTGTTTTTTAGATTAGAATTATTTTATGAGTTTTATTATGATTTTGACGTGTTTTTTTTAAGGTTTCAAATGAGTTTTTTGATGATCTTACAGGATTTGTTCATGAATTTTATGGATTTTTTGAAGGTTTTTTTTATAAGTATTTGTGTGTTTGTTTAACTTTTTATGAAATTTCCATATCCGATGCTACCATTACTCTTCCGTTCACTTCTTTACATTATCCTACAATACTTTATTTTAAGGGAGCATTTAAATTTTATATTTAGCAACATTTTTATAAAAAAAATGATGTTATGTTGATAACATACATTTCAATCGACGAGTTTTCTTTTTCTTGTGAATATATCATTTTATATAAATATTAAAAGTATTAGATATTAGATAAGTAGATTATATTTAATGTCTTCGTTTTTTCCAGGACATTGATACATCCGATTAATTTTTGTAATATCTCCCGTACTGAATCCGTCTCGTTGACCTATAATTTTCACATATTTTGATTCCTGAAAACATTAAACATATACGTACATATGTATAAATAGAATTGCTAAGCAATTAATTATATAAGCATGTGTAAAATGTAGTGATAACTTACTTTTGGAATGATAGTTGGTTGACCGTTGGCAGAGAATGCGAATCTTGAATAGTGCATAACAGATTCATAATCGTAGGGAACATCAAAACCGCTTTCGTACGATTCCGGCGATTTTTTAAAATTATCTTTCGATGCTAAAAAAATCGCTCAATCAATCTTTATGTGCTAGAACATAAGTATGTGTGTGTGTGTGTGTGTGTGTATTTAAACTTACAGGATTTGATATTATTCCAATTTATTGTAACGTAATCGTCCCTTTCGTGTCTGCTCTGTTCGTGTACAAATCCAATGACGTGCATTAATTCATGTAAAATTGTACCAATTTTTGTCACGCATTGGGGACTTTGAAGATTTACTATTTGTTTTTTTCCTTGATTTCCTACAGATGACCAGCATCCACTTTGTCCGCTCGTTATTGATATGTAACTATCGTCTCCCGAAGATCGAGGCCTGAACCTGGAATTTTATTTGCTCACATTTTAATTCCTTAATAGACTGGCTCGAATAGATTTCCTCGTGTTATTTAAATAATTGCAATTACAAAGAGTATACGTTAAAAGCAAAAGTAATTAGTTGAAATTACAATTACTTTCACTTGATTATTTCCAGGTTTAGTACTTTATTTACTTTTACTTTAGGTGTGCCTCTACTATTTCAGACTCCCATTATACTAAATAAATATAACAAAATCCTTTCAATTACCTTATACAAGTAAAATTATGATAATAATCTATAGCTTTGTAAATAAGAGCGAGTTCGTTCTTCTTATACCATCCTTTTATTTCGAATGGTATAATTCCATTTTCCCATCTCTTTGATAAATTCATGATTCCATTTTTTGCCAAATTATTGTTGATTATTATCAGATCGCCTTCGATGAAACTCCCCAATTCTTCTGGATTCTGGAGACTAAATTCATTCCAGGTTTCCAAATTTTCTGCGAAATGGGATCGTTCTGATGCCGGTTTGCTCAGAGTCGAACCGAATAAATAGAGAAAGATTAAAATATAAATCATTTTACGCGCGACAGAGTGAAAAACGAATATACGACTAGAAGACACCTTAAAATTTTATTGTTTTTAAAGAAAATCGACCTCCTGTTTTATGTATTTAGTGCAGGTCGGATATAAATAATTGATTCAACGTTGTATTCGTTATCTGATTAAACTTTTTACGTAAATACTGAGCTTCTTAATAAAGTAGAAAAAAAAAAGATAATGTATTAGTTCAACATATGTATGTACGTTGCTGATAAAACAAACTAGATCTGGGTTAAGCAAAATACCAAATATACGAAATTAACAGTAAAATTTTTGTTGAATGCAAATTTTTGTTTAGAAATTAGCAATTCTGGATATTTGCAAAGAAGAAACTGAAATAAAAATAACGTATTGAGAGAAATGATTATTTTTATTAGTAATAAGTCGTCTGGCAATTTACTGAAACTTTTACTCGTTTACCAATAATCTATTGTAAAACATTTTTACATTTATCAACAAAATCAGCATTTTGCGCAAATTTTATAACCAAAACAAAATTTCGAAAAAAATGCTAAGGCAAGACAAAAATTATTTTTCATTGCAAAAATTGTGACATAAATATTTTAATAAAACAATTAAATAATGAAGTGCAAAAATTTTTGCTATCGAAACGTAGTTCTTGATGAAATTTCAAACAGAAAGCATTAAAATGAATCCGACGATACATATTTCAAGTTTGTGTATTTTATTATTGGTAAGTTTTTTTTCTAGAATGATTTAAAACTGTCCAGAATCATTTAGATCGCTTTTTTAATAACAATTTTTTTTTTTAGATGATGTGCACGAAAATCAACGGCGATTTGGCTACCAATTCGATAAGAAGATCCGATTTCGATTTGAAAACAGCCCAAACTCCATACCAATTGATAGAATCTCTGAGAAAACAAGTTCTGGAAAAGGAAAACGAATTGAAGAAAGCCGAAGAAATCAACAAAAATTTTGAAAAAATGATTCAGCTGGTAAACATTTTGGGCCAAGTCGATTCGTTTCTAACGGAACGTACGAGAGCAATGATACAAAAACTTGCTATGCTAACGGGGGCTGATAATGGAGAATTCGAGAAAGAATACAACAAAAAACATCCTTTCAAATGATTCACGTTATACTGGCAATAATTGTGAAAAATATTAAAAAATTTACCTTACATACAAAACTATCGAATTGTAATAGTTTCCTATTAAGATATTAGAAAAAGTGCAATAAAAAAGAGTAATTTTTCATCAGAAATTTGTTTAATATATTTAAATAGTACAATGCAAAATTTTTTTAAATAGAAATACTCATTTCTGTACCTTTGTACACTAAACCTTTCGGCGCAAAAATATATGGAACATTAATTATCAAATAAATAAACACCTAAAATTTCAGAATGAATAATTATTAATTATTATAAAATGAAAAAAAAATGCAAAGTTTTTTCCACTGAATGAAAATGACAATTATTGAATATCTTTAAATGTATAATATACTCTCAATCAATAAACAAACATACATATGTTTTTTAAGTGAATTTTATATATTCTTTCACATCCGATATTCTAAGTGTTTATTAACTGAAAAAAAAAGAAGTATTTACAAGTCTTCTGTGAATAGGTGACAACAATTCATTATAAAAAGTGACGGGTACCTTATACATAATATTTTACAGTAACAATTAAAATGTCCAGAAATCATCTGTACAATTTACCACGCGACTTGGACATATTATTCAACAATTTTATACCGGAAAATAATGTTTGTTTATTCGAGAGAGAATCTTACAATTTTTTTTTTATTAATTTTTAGATTCCAAAGTCAGCTTCATTCAATGAACATTTTCTAAATAATCAAGTATGTTCTAGTCTGCTGGTCTCTTTTCACTGTGTTTTTTCGTATAATCTTCGGCGTTTTTCGCGAATTTTTTCTTATCTTTGAGGTATTCTTCAGCTAAGTCTCCACGCAGAGGATGTTCCGGTTCGGGTTCATTTACAAGAGCAACCAGTGCTTGAATAACTACAAAAATAAAGGGAAATTTATCATCAATTACTAAAAAAAAATATGACTATTTAAATTACCTTGTTCCGTTTTAGTGGCGGGTTTCCAATTTTCGGCACTTATAATGGGCAAACAAACTTGGCCCTTTTCATCTATATTAGGATGGTAAATTTTCGTCTTAAAATTTATTTTTGGCGGCTTAAAAGGATATTCTGCGGGGAAATTAATTTCTATTTTAAAAGCTCCTTTGTTGTAAGGCGGATTATCCTAAAAAAAAAAAAATTCGACCTTCACAGAGGTTTTTGACTTATTTTTAGTTGGAGAGACCTTACCGGAACTATCAGACCTTGCCATGTTAGAATGTTAGTTTCGTCCACTTGAATATCACGGAATGATTTTAATCCAGAATTTCTAATATCTCCTAGTTCCTAAAAGTAATAATTATTCATCAATATCAAATTTGTACCGACACCATGCATGAAGAATATTCTAGTGACTCACCCACGTTGTAAAAATAGAATGATAATTTTGTTCTAATGACTCTTTTATTAAATTATACGTTGTCTATGTTTAATTTAACTTTTAGACAAACGATTTTGTACCTTTTAATAATCTTAATTAAAGAGAAATAACTTACTTTTTGTAATCGTCTGGTGGCTGCCATTTTGTTAGAATGTTAGCAACTGAACTCACTTCTAAAATAAATATACAAACTTATCACGAATTAAATAAGTAAAACGGTTAAGTTACAGTTAATTTTAACATCAAACGATCAGTGAAGTTCAAACGCCGTTTTTTTCATCACTATCCAATTTTTTATAATTATTGTTCTAGTTCTAGATCTTACAAAATTGACACTCCTCAATGACAATGATGACATTTGCGAATGACGTAACCGCTGCTGCCATCTCTTATGTACTTTACGACTTTCTTTTGACATTTCTATAGTGCTGCCATCTCTTATTTAATTTGCGACTTTTTTTTTTACATTACTCTAGTGCTGCCATCTCTTATTTAATTTGTGACTTTCTTTTGACATTTCACTAGTGCTGCCATCTCTTATTTAATTTGCGACTTTCTTTTGACATTTCTCTAGTGCTGCCATCTCTTATCTACTTTACGACTTTCTTTTGACATTTCTAAATCATTTCTTTGTTTGTTAAATAAATTAAATAGTATGAAATTTTTTCTCGAATAGCGAAGGTGTTTTCTAGGTTAAAAAAATCTATTCCAAGTGAGTTCGTTATGTACACATTTCTAATGTAAAATTGAAACTATAATTCTAATAAATTAATATTTTATTAGGTTACAAAAATCGCATTTAACATACCGAAACAAATAAAAATATAGCGCAAAAATTAAGCCGAAACTTGAGACGAAAAACTAAAAATGTATATCACAATTGTTGGACCTACAATTAATTAATATTGTTTAGCGCAGTTTTTAAATCTAGAAGAAGTAAAAAAGGGAAAGGAAAGATCGGAAAATTTCAAATAACTCAACCTACACGTACTTGTGTAACAAAAATCGTAAAAAATAAGTATCTCGATTAATCGTTAGAATCGAATTGAGAAAGGAAAAGAAGAGGCGTATACAGAGTGTTTGTTATTTATGCTTTGGTAGTTGTAGCAGCCGTTTCTTCTGGTACTGGCGCTACCGTAGGGACTTCCGGATATTCCAATTTGGCACCTTCTTCGCAAACGAAGGAAGGGCAACAATACGGGAAAGTGGCCGTCTTGTTAGTTTTTTCTGTAAAAGACCAATCGATTAATTACACAATGTTCCCTATTCAATATTTAGTATATAAATATATTGGCGATATTATAACTTACCTTCGTCCAATTTGCATTTAGGATTAGCCAAAGGCAGAGGACCGCAATCTTCTACCAATTCCAATAGACGAGGGGGTTTGTCTTCGGACACCACGCAAGTGGATCGACCACAGAAAGGCGTCAAATCCCAAGATTTTCCGGGCTCCACGGTGGCGCATCTGGTCGAAGCGAAGCACATACCAGGGAAATCTGAAAAAAGGAAATATTTTTTTATGTAGTTGTTCATTTTCAGGATTTTCTAACGTAGCTGCTGATGTGGTTTCATCTTCTTGTGCCCCTCCTACCAGTTCTTGTAAAATTTACATTAAACTATACCTACTTAAATGCATTATGTATGTACACAAGATCTGTAAGTTTATATAGGACAGTGCAATTAGTTGATGAAACAATAATTAATTTTAAAATCGGTCTCAAGGTGGATAAACAGGTACAAATTTTCTCTGACCTTAAACATGGCCAATGTAACAGAACGTTTTGCAGGGATTTTCATTCTAAATGAATCACTCCCAATTTAAGAAAATTAATTTTTTTCCTAGCGTGTAGCGTTTATGTAATTATACTTGATTTACTTTGTAAGTAGCGAAGACAAATTTATTTGCAAATACGTTTCAAGGTTGGATTTTCATGGTTTTGCATTTCGTAAACTGCTGACAGAGGAAGTCATTAAATTTTCACTGTCTACACGTAGGCATTATTCAATAAGTTCAGTGTAAATTATGTCATGCAAAGATTAATAAAATAAATCTTAACGTAAAGTAATATCTATAATAAATCGTACTTATTCAAAATTCCCACATTCTGTCTCCCACTTACATTTCTTACATCTTTTATATTATTTCTTCCTTCTTCAATGAAACCTTCGCATCCTTAATTCATCTGTTGTTATTTGAATTGTTGCATTTTGTAAAAAAAATAGTTACAATCAAATTCAGTAACAACATAAATGAGCATCATTATCATACAAAAGATAACTTTAAAATCCTAACTGTACATTGACACAGGTATCACCAATGCAGTTGAACTTGTTACACTTTGGTGAATTTTTTATTGTGCACCAGAAATGTATGTCGAATCTTTTATGTATTATTTCCCATGAGTAATGTTCCCTATTTTTGTTTTGTATAGCGGATATTGTTTATACTAGAGTGTAACAATGATTTTCAACAATACAATTGGTAGACGAATTCAATGTTAAACCGTATAAAGCATTTCAGGAGAGAGCATTAAACTTTATACGAATAAAATAATAAAATAAATAGTCGATATAAACCGTTTTAATGAGTGAATCGTGACAGATGAATGAACGAATACACAATGCTCAATAAGCTTAAAAAAATGATAATTTTTCTAATTTCTCTGACTGGTTTGAGGAATACATTATTTAGAACATTTGCCTGAAGCTTAAGTAAACTCTTACGTAGGAAATACAATACGTTACATTACTCTGTCCTCGTTAACTTCTTTCCAAATCGGTACAAGCCTATCGTTAATTTCAATTTATAATTCATCCGAGAGCGATTTTAATAAATTCAACGAAGGCAATTGTAATAGAGGAAACGCCATAAAAGAAGCGGTTGCGTAAAAGCCGGCGAGTTTTATGAATTCGCAAAGAAGTCGATGCATTGAAAACGGCAGCTTTTTTTTTTTATTTAATCGTTTGCGTAATTTACTGAGTGAAATTTCGAACAGTCAAGAGTTAAACTAAAATTTCAAATTTGCAGTTGAAACGCAGCTGACGTAACTAACGGTTCAGGATATTTAGAAATAAAATTTCAATTCGTAGTAACGATGATTATGATGATGATAGGATTCGCGTCAGTTAAACGGAACAAATTTCTAATATTATGTATTTACTATTTTCATACTAGTACTTTTGTGAGTACTATTATCATGAATCATGATATTTAATTAGAGGTTATTTAGTAAATGGTAACATTTGTTTCGTTGCACCATCGGTATTGTTGGTTTGAAAAATCAGAAGTTGTCAAGGTTCTTACAATGAAAGCGCTTTAATTATGAATTTACTGACCTGCAAAAATCGGAATATCAAAGAATTTTTTTCCAGTTCGAAAGTTGCGGCTGTTAAAATTAACATGTTAAGCAGAATCCGGTTTCGAATTTACCAAAATATTACATAATTACTTAACATATGTAGATATTAACAGATAAAACGCCAATTTGTATGCTTTACCATATATTACCTATAGTATCACACCATTTAGAATATAAATTGAATATAAAATATATCTACGTTAAAGTGGCAATAAACAATTATTTTTATATTTCCACTAAACCGTTTATTAGTACCAATGTTATGAATTAAATATGTCGACAGTACTGTTGTATTAAATTGTAAATGAAGGTGATCTCATTCTGTAGGTACCTATCACTTTACGTAATAAGCAAATGCGAAGGATAAAAAGGAAATGCGAATTTTTACTCAAATTGGCAAACTAGACCGAAAGACTAGACAAATGATGTCCAAAGCCAGAGTTCAAAGACACTTGTACAAGGAAATTTTACTTTCATTAAGCTTTTTTGATGGGACCAAATTACCCACTAATTTCTGAGTAACTTGAATGGTGAATTAGGCTAAATGCAAGTTATAAAATCGAGGATACAGAACCAGGCACTTATTCAGCTCATTTTCGAAAATTTTGTTACACTCACAATAATTTTATTACTGTATGAAAGTAGTTAATTCAATATAAAAAAATGAAATTTAAACATGCGATGAAAAATCGCTATGTGCATGCAGGTATACACCTACTCTCTTTACTTTCACTACCCAATTCTGTCTGAATCATCGCCGTAAGTGGGAAATTTCGAAATTGCAATAAATTTGCATAAGTAATTATGTTTTAAAATTAATGTAATCACATAAGTGCAGAGGAAAGTACCTACTTATTATCCGCTCCTTTTCGTTATTATACCATCGGAAGAAAAGTGAAGTGAATAATTAATAACATAATAATGGATAAACATTTATAATGCATAATGCTATAAGAAATAAGAAACAGAGTGATGGGTAGATAGGAATAATTAACGGAGTAGGTACTTACAAAAAAAATGGAGAGTGATCTTAAGACGTGTTTCGTTACGTAAAGAGACGAAATGCGAACGAAGTAAAAAAAAAGTAAAAGCGGAAAATAATTTTCAATTGGCGACATAAACGTGCCCGATCGTTTCGTAATTGCTCTTCGTAAATCGACTTTTCGAGTTGGAGAAGAGACGACTCGTCTCGTTGCAACACCATCAGACGAGTGTATAACTTTTTTTTTCCATTACAATATTCGTTTGGGCGTTGAAAATTATGCAAAGTGTCTGCGCCAGCTTTCTTTGTCGTACCGGCATCGTATCGAATAATTAATTTTATTATAAGGGCAATAAAACACTTTCGCCAACTTTTACTTGGACTTTTAGACGGTCACAAGCATCAGTACGAAATTATACATTTATTTTCAAAATAAAAAAGTTATTAGTTGGCTGTTTTAATATCGGATCGTTTTAGAATGGAATTTATTAATCCATTAAGATTCAATTTGTAACTTTGTATTAGCTGAATGAACAGAAACTATCGTTTGTGTCGAAATTTCCCAGAGTAAATTTCCCAAAGTAATGGGGTCCTATTTTTTCAATAAAATTATTCATACTGTCAAAGACTCCTACAAAAATTTAACCTGATAAAACACAGAAATTGGGAATTGAAAAAGATTGTTATTTGTATCATTTTCAATAAACAACGCTAAAACATTTTCTACAAAATCATAATGGTGCTCAAACATGAGATTTTTTTATTTCTATTTCCAGGTGTTTAGCGTGATATTGGGCAAAAGCTTTAAAAATTTATTCAGTGTTTGTTTTAAATTTTGAAAATTTAATTCTTTAAAAATGAATGTCGAAAATTATGAATAAATTATAGTAAAAAAAATGCAAGAATAAAAAACTATAAAATTTAAAAAAATTCCCTCGTTTCTAAATTCATCAAAAAAGAACTTTGCTAAGCTTTCATATTTTATCAGTATCTCTTTATAGTTGCTTTAAAAAATAGCTACTCCAAAACACTACAAAGCAAATAAACTTAAAATACAATAAAGTATTACTTTCTTAATAAGAATAAAAATTATAATAAAAAAAATAGTACCTCTGAGGACATCGGCCGGTATCAACCTCCTGTACGTTTTCGGACCATCATCTTTGTCCTCTGCCTTATCTTGGGCAAAGGCAAAAGCCAAAACGAAAGCGAACACGAGAAGACGTTTCATTTTCTTTTTTTTTTTTTTTGATAATCGATTAGTACTGAATCGAGGAGGGTGCCGACTCCTGGATGCCGGATTTTACTTGTATATTGACTGGAGATCAAAACTCCGCTTAGTCTGTTTTATAGTTTTTTTTTCGGCGTTGAACGCGCCCCACTTTTGGTCGCTCGACGTACCGATTTTCGCTTCGATGGTAAAACGTTTGTATGTACTTCGGTAGATAATAAATATATCGTTATACGAGTGAAAAGAGATATTTACCGTGATTTAATGGTCTATCTGCAGGGTTTTGATGGAGAGAAAAAAAAGGCACTCACAATAGGTAGGAAGTTATTGGCGAATGCAAACACTAATTGCATTAGGGATATGTTTTTTCCGCCGTTTATGTTTGTTATGTAAATTTGAAAGCGACTCCATAAAATTCTGTGCGAGAGATTTAAATGTAGATACTTATGTATAGGAAGAAAATACTAATTTCCAAAGGACTGTTCGATTCTTTCAGATATACATATTCCTTTCCATTTAAATTTTCATGTGACTAAAATTCGTGCACTTTCTCTCTGTTTTATTATTTTTATTCGATAATTTTGTTCTTCATATTCCTCTTCTTTGATAATAATTTTTCTCGATAATAAAGAAGAGTGTATCTTAACTGGTGACTATTAGACAAAATCAATGGAGAGTAAAAATCCATAATTAATTTTTGGACAATCCTTGTTTGGTTGCATTTTGCTACATAAAAACTAGTTTGTTAACAGAAAGTAAACCCAGTGAACGGAAGCATTTTTAGAAAAAAAATAGTTTTAATTAGAAAAAAGAAAGTAACTAGTTAAAATGCATATGCATATATGTGTTGGAAATATAATATAAAAAAGATACTTAATTAAGAACATGTTTAAAAAGCTGTTTAATTTTGCAATTAATAGTGGAAAAATGTGGATATGTAAAAATGTCTGCAGTTTCTTTATTGTTTTATAAATTTGACTATTTAAATGCGTAAACTTAATCAAAAAAATATTTTTATTAAAAAGTTAAATATTTAATAACAATAGCAATAAAATAAATATACATACATACATAGGTAGATGGTTTTCTCATTCATTTAATTTGCAGTGGAAATGCAAATTTTTTACAAACAAATCTACCTGACTTTTTAGTAAATTGATAATACACCTAGTTGAAAGCGTCCTGTATTTAAGTAAAGATTAAATCGTTAATTCTAATTTCATGTTTCTAAATATGTGGGTTATGTGTGGGTTATGAGGATTGGAGCAATTGTTATAGCAGAATGTATTGGGGCGACTTACTTTCAATAACGTTAAAGGTTCTTTCACTTTTGAATTGTTTGCCTCATACATAGAGGTAACCTAATATCTACAGATCAAAAAGTAAAGCGATTAAATTTATGTATTTGAGATTTTTTGAAATATGCACTTACGAGCTCGTATATATTAGTAAAAGCATAAAATCACAGGAAAAAATTAAGAAATTAAGAAAATAGGAAAAGATTTTTTTATCGCATTTGATATAATATTATGAGCACATTTATGTAAATTAACACAATCGTCTAAAAATTTATTAGACATTTTCCATGAAGACGGTTTTTTTTTAGTTTCTCATCTAGTAACTTTGTATAAACAGCAGAATCATTACATAATCTTGCGTAATAATCTGCCAAAATTTATTCTTCCAGTTTAGCCCATAAACTTACACAAACAAATCGATCTTGTTAATTTCCAATATTCTCGGCCGATTGCCTTATAAATTTAACAATATTTTCGAAGAATAAATTATAATTAAAATAAATGGGCTCGAAAACTGGTTTCATTTTGTAACACGTCCTAAATTATTAGTTGCCAAAATCGGCCGAAAAGCGAAAAGAAAAAGCGCTGCAAATTCTTGAAAAATTAAATAAGTACCTACAGTCTGGATATAATAAACATTTTTTTGAGGAATATCGAAATTAAATTACTGTTGCTTTTGTTTAGTATTCAATTAGAATTTACCAACGCTTAAAATGCATTGAAGCTTCTCTTGTAGAAAGTTCATTAACCCATTATTATTTGAATTGGTAATTCAGTCCTTTGAACTGGTGCAAATCAACAATTCTAAGGTTTTTTCTTCAAAATACATCTGCGCCTGCATAATGAGTAAAAAATAGTAATTTAAAAAAAAAAGTTATGAAACAACAATACTTAAGAAGAATAAAATGCGTAAGTAATGTTGTTAAAACGGAGTAGATTCAAAAAATTAATTCAATCTATTGAAAGGAAACTGGTTATGTTTAACCCAAATTTGTAGATCTGATATAGTTTTAGTTCGTCTATTGCAATTATAAACTGCATTAGTTTCTTTCGCTTCGAATGCAATTGTTGCGAATTTAGAACAATCACTGATTAAACGAATAATTAATGAGTAATTACAATTACACGGCATTTACAATTACACGGCATTTTCAATGAACAGAACTAGAAAGCGTATTTCCTATTTGACAAACGACAAGCCACCAATTCAGATGTGAATTTCTGCTAATCTTTCAATCAAAAGAAACAGCAATTGAGCCGGTAATTTATCATTTTAACGACGAAATACATTTTTTCTAAATTGTTTCCAAAAAACCAAGTCAAAAGAGCAATTTTTGGATGTAATTTCAAATTGTGCAATGCAAACGGGCGAATCTTACACCAATTCGCTGATTTGTAATTTAAAGTACAATACTTGTTATTATCTACAAAAAAATATAAATAAACAAATTGCTGTCGGTGACAATGACACAGTTGTCAAGTTTCACAAGAAAACAATTACGGGATTTGCTCGTATGCTCGTTTTGCTGGAAACGTTAGGAAATCATTTAAATACTTATGTAACTAGATTTTAGATCGAGTCTGATGCGAGGATATTAAAATATGAGTCACATAAAGACGACGATAATTTTAATTTTGCCATTTATCAGGCGGTTATCGTATCAAAATTGTCTAATTATGCAAATATCGTCGTTGGAAAAGTTTCCCAATTAATAGGCTAGTTTTAATTTGTATACAATCTGATCAATTAGTTGGTGTATCATTTGGAATTATACACACATTAATTTCTATTCGTGTGCATAATAAAAGAAGCGCATTTTTAGATAAATAACATCATTTATTTACATTGTCTTGTAAAATTTATTTGGCAAATACGCAGTGTCTGGGAGACTGTTAATTTGAATGTAAAATATGGACAGTCAGAACGACTAACAACAGAAAACATCTTACTTTGTTTTGATATCATTAATATTCTTTATCACATTGATATTAATCAAGTACAGATGTGAATTATTTTTTAAAGAAAAATGAATCGGTTAATTTTCTACACATGCACAGACGAGCCTTCAGCTTTATTGATTTCCAACATTTTCCTATTTATCAGGTTGGGTAACAGTCTTGTAAATATGAAAATAACGTTATTTATGTAAATGTAGATATTTATTTATATTTCATTTTAAACTTGAAGACAATGAAATTTAACAAGAACAAACTAATCATTCTTGTAAATACAAAAAAAGTATACTATTTATTGTTAAAAAACAACCTTGTCGCGAATTCGCGGTATTTTTTACACCTGATTAAATTTATTGAAAATATCACAATTATACTTGGGTTTATAGACAGTTTGTGGTTGTTTACTTACCTGATTCATAGTTTTATTATTTTACCAAAGACGTTTAATAACATGCTAAATAAGAGTTTTTATAGTATAAATATTTAATTGAAAATAGGCATATTTAAATGTAAATATTTAAAATGGTTTTTAAAATATTATACAAATAGTTATCTATCTATTTTAATTAAGTACTCAGATTCTAAATAGTATAGGACCTATAGGAAATGCATATGTAGGTACAATATTTGTGAAAGCTATAGATTTAAAGAAGAATGGTTAGTGAAAAACTTCTAGATTTATTCACCAAGCCAAATTCTCCAGAATCAATTAAAATAATATTGTAATTCTTCATTGTGCAACTGAAAATCCTGTCTCTAGGTATTCCCGTCATTACTCATTACGTGTTTTTAATCTAATAAAAAAAACTAATTTTATGCCAATCTTAAGCTTAAAATGCAGCTTCCTGTTTTTTGTGCTATTGTTTTATTCTTTGGCAATGACAACAACTTAGCACTCAAGGTCCTGAAAATGAATGAAAGTGTTTCATGTCTCAATGAAAAATTCTAGGTACCTACTATACACCTTGAAAAATTCAAATAAAGTAACTACTGTATTAACAAAAATATTATGTTTATTTAGTGCCCTTATTGTGTCTAATTGTATCTATTTTTTAATTGAAAAACAAAAAAAAATATTTTTTAACGAAACGAAAAGTTCGTTGAAACATTTAAGTAACTTATAAGTGCATGAGAAATTGTTGTAAAGGCGTTTCAACCTTGTCAGTGGAATCAAAATAAACCTTAAACCTAAAATATCAATCATTGATTATTAAAAAAAAATACCGTACAATTTTCCTATCTACCAGTAAGCAACCTATCATAAATGGATAGGAGGATACTTGTTTTTAGGCAACACAGTTTACATGTAAAATCATTACGGAACAAAACTTTAGAGAGACTCGAAAACATAAAAAAATTGGTTTTGGTAAAATTAAACTTTGTCTAAAAAGGTGAAAACGTGAAGTCATGTTTTCAAAAATCATAATATGTAGATCAGTATCCAATTTCAATTGCGGAGACCCACATGTATGGAATATTATCCATTGCAAAGAACAAATCGATGGTGCATTTTTCATGCTCAAGCACCAAGAACTCAGGAAAGGTACATCATACGAAACAATTATATTCGATTAAACGAAAAAATATATTCAAAAAGTTATTTCATTGTAGTCAATGTAGTCACTTTGGTCAATTTTTAACAGCAATGAGTGTGACAATGATCGTGACAATGATCGTGACAGTGATCGTGACAGTGATCATGGCAGTGATCATGGCAATGATCATGGCAATGGTCATGGCAATGGTCATGGCAGGGCTTGCAGCTGGACTTGATGGACATGAATCCTTTGTGGTTGTAATTGTCCCAGAAGGGTCCGCAGTGGTCTTCGCAGGACACGTCGCATTTTCTCAACCAAGGCCAGGAGAATTTCCTGTATTTTCCGTATGGAAAACGCAGTGGGTAGTCGCAGTCGTGGTCAGACTGAAATAATCAAAGCGACATTCGTTCAATTCCGAATCGGTTATCAATCATAAATTCAAGTTGTCTTACCGGTATGGGTTTGAGGTGTACTTGAGAACACGTGCAGACTTTTCCAACGGGAATGCGAGAGGGAATTCGAACGGGCAAACTGATCGGTTTACCTTCGAACGTTTGCTTGAAACCACCGCAACACGGCGAAGAGCACGGTGAACGACAGCAACTAAATCCGCTGGACATCTGTAATGTTATAAATTTTTTATAAATTTAAACACAATTGGCAAATTGAGTAAATTAAATTAAGTATATTATAAGTACCTCTACGAAGAAGATGATTAGAAGACTCGAGAACACGATTTGGGACCTCATGGTGGTTTTAATATTTCGGTATTACCAAATATATCGTTTACATAAAAAAAATCCGCTTATATACGAAACCACCTGTTAAAAATTTTGTAACTTGACGTGACATTTTCAAAAACAATTCGCTAGTGGTGGAAGTGTCGATAAACTTTTTTGTTGATAGGAAGAATGTTCAATGTAACTTCCTATAAACAAAATTTCATTGTCAAGTTTGAATTATTGTAAATATAATACCTATATGTAATCAATTATGCAACTTTTTAAAAACGTACACAGTGTTTGTGAACTATCTAATGGAATCTGAAATTCACTAAGTAGGCTTCTTACATACCTAGAATTTTCTAATTTGAACATTTTGTGATGTTTCTTTTCCAAATACATGAAGTCTAAACTATCACATTGTAGTAATGAGGAATAATTATAATGATATGATATCTTTCTCTTGACAAAGCCTAATATCAGTTTACCAATGGCCCATTATTGATTATGTTCTTCTTAGACCAATAGAGCATTGGTTTGTATTAGTTATAAATGTTCATTTTATCCCCATTTTGAGACCAAGAATGTATACAAAAAGTTAGTCATACTCTAATCGTATTTACCTACTTAATAATTGAACTAAAAAAATGGTAATCATAATTTTCATCGTAGCTCAACCAAAATAACCTGACAATGATCAAATTTCATCTAATTTCCTAAACGACTTTTCCAATCAACCGAAACTCGAATTTACGCAACTTGAAACCAGCGAAAGGGTTGAATTTCATTCACCAGCTAGTAAGTTCGTATATAGTTCGTACACCCGGGGATTTTTTTCAATGGACGCGCGGCAACGCCGCACGGCGGTAATCTTATCAGCCTCTCTGCTGACAAAGAGAGGCTCAAAGGGCGGCGTTGCCGGACCGTGCCCGTTCCGGAGGCGGTTGAATGGGAAACGGCACGCCTGGAAAGGGTGAAAAATTGGAAAGGGGAATTGGAAATGGTGAAATTGAGGCTACGCCGGCATCGAGCTCATAACCCCGTCCGGTGGGGTAGAAGAGACGCCGGCGCTTGCGTCGCGACGCCGCGTCGTCGCTCGCTTATTTGACCCAATTACACGCTCGGGATAATGATGACGCCTTCAATTATTAAATATTTTTAAGTAATTGCGACTAATTATATAGCACGAAAATTATGCCACACTGGGTTTTTTTTTTACTTTTGATAATGTTATATTTGAGTATATTCTGTATATAGGTGTAATTAATGCAAATTCGATTATTATTTTTTTCGTTCGTAACCAATTAATTTGTAATTAAGCGCTTGGTTAAATCATATGAACGCGGAATGTGAAATTGATGAATTATTTTGTGCTATATTATTATCTACTCGTAAATCGAACTTGCTTTGCTATTTTTTTTATGATTTCTGCTATAATACGATTAAAATTAAAAAATAATCCATTTTCCATATCATTAAATTATTTTGGTAAGTACTTCTGAAGGAAGCGAGTTGTCAAAATTGAATTAATTTGAAAGAGGAAATAAAACCGCAACTCGCAATTAAAATTAGTTCCAAATTTAATTACAGTTTATAATATTTGTGTTAGATAAAAAACTGACCGAACGCAGAATTTTTAGCAGCTTTCTGATACAAAACTAGAACCCGAAGATACTTAGATGTCCATCCAATTTCTAAAACCAACCTTTCAAATAATCCCTACACGCATTAGAATATTCTCAATCCCATAAAAGAAAAAAACAACCAGAATAAATCTAAATGGAAAATAGAAAAAAAAATCCAATCGACACGTCAGGGACGTCGTACGCCAAACACACCAACCCGGCGAAAGGAACAAGAAATTCCAGCGAAACGACGAATCGATCTCTCTCACAAAAAGGCCAAAAAGGGAAAGGGCCAGCCAATTCCTTCATCACCCGACAAAATGACCGATTTGGCAACGCCGTTTCGTATCAGCCGAATAGAGAATTGAATACCTACCATACATCGGTTCGGTTTTCGGCTGCCAGTTTATCGGCGAATCCGACACGTACATGGACGCTTCGAGTTTCCTCGTCTCTTTCTCTCTCTCATGGTGTGCTGCACTAAAAACCGATTAATTTCTTGAATGAAAAAAAATCTGCTAACGTGCGACCGTCGCACCGACATCGAATTCGCTTTGATATCGAGACATTCGATTACGCTGTGCGTGTAAATAAACTCTTTGTAAATAGTCTTTCGTTGATGAAAAATTTAGACCGTTTCGGGCGAATGTTCTTGTAATGTTTGTGTTCGTCTTTGATGGTTACGACGCTTATTGTTTGAGGTAAGGGACACGCTCTGTTTGGTTTTAAATCCAGGAAGGATATCTTTTCTTTATACAATAGGTGTGCTGCAGAAATTGCACTTATTTAATTGCGTAATTATACTTACTGTTAACGCATGCGAGCAATAATTAGGTTTCTTCGAGCTCTTAAAAAAATTATGCGGGTTTATGTCTGAGTAATTTTCGGGGAAAGTTTAAATTACACTGGTCAATTAAACAAAATGATATACCAAATTGATTAGCTCACATCTTTATTTTTAATTTAGTCTATAAAATTACAGCTAACCTGTTTGTTAATTGACTGAGTATAGTTTATTGAAAAATAAACCAAAATTCCTTAATTTAATTTATCGATATCTACCTGTTAAATTTGCAGGTGTTGAATGTTTTCGAGAGCTAAAGCACACGCTTTTTTCACGAAAAAAATAGAACACATAGACACTCTATCGTGCTCTATTTAATGCTTATTCGGAGTTTTTTTTTTTCGTTCTCTTTCCCGTAAATGATTAATGATAATGATCGCACAGCAAACGCGTGCCAGTTAATGAGAGTTCAACTGAAAACTACACGGCAGCAACCAATGGAAATTTCATGCTAATGTTTCACCAGCATCGCGTTTAATTCGATCAATTTTTCCTGGGATAAAACATCACCTAAAGCTCGAATATGTTGTATATACATACATACATAGGTATACAAGAGTGTCCGAGAAATAATTTTAGTTTATTCACATCGTCGAAATGAAATTGGACGATCTTTACTTTCATTTGGAATCTCATTGAGTTTGAGGTCAATTACTAATAAGTCGATATGCTTACCAATTAATTACAATATAAAGAAAGAAGCTTTTATAATAAGATATTCACTCCCTTAAGGAGTTTATTTGATATAGTATCAAAAACGTCTAAAGCAGCGGTAATTAAACTACTCGATTCCTGACAGGTGATGTAAACATGTTCGATAATGCTAAATAGAATATACGCTGTATACCTATCAATCAATTAAGGAAGATATTATAAGGGAATTTTTAAAGAACCTAATTTGACTAACAATAAGAATCACCTTTAAAAGAGGAATCGTTTGATGGATTTTAGCAAAGAAAATCTTTGACATTTTAATGAAAAGAATTCGTTAAAAAAATAGGTACAATTTAACCAGTTTCTTTTATGATTACTCGATGTGTTAGCGTTCAAACTTTATAAATAATACGTACATATAAAAGGAAATGTGCCGAAAATAGACGTGATAAACTGAATTGTCAAGTGCTGGGCTAGAATTCCATTACATTATCCAAATTATCATCCTTTTAATGTATTTACATTGTGAAGTCACGAACAATTCGAGTATATGCACACATAATCTGCGACTGTTCGAAAATATACAAACAATTTTCTTATAGATCCTTATCTCCTACGAAATATGCAAATGTATATCTTTAAAAAGGACATAAAAAAAACCTAATCTTATCTAATAAGGCATCGAAGGAAACCCCATCACAAAAATTCCCCTCGTTGGTCCTTTTTGGTCCTTACACTTCTCGGTACAGAGGGGTCAAGGATCTCGTATAATCTGGTTCCAGGTCGAACGTTCGATTGCGATGTGACTTTGACGAACTATCGCGTGTGGGTGAACACCCGTTTTTATTAAAATTCACCGGCACACGATCCAGCGTGTTGGGCTAAATTTAGCCGAAATGTAAAATCTAAGCAGACAGTCTGTCATCAATTTTCTGCTATTTGTCGAGAGTTTTTGAGATAAGGGAACATGCCGTTACGCTCTATAAATACAACCGAGTTAAACGATGATCTATGACTAGACTAAAAACTACAAAGTCAATGTTTGAGTCATAAAACAAATCCTGGGATTAATTTAATGCTGTAATTTACAAAACTTGTGTTTCCTTTGTTAAGTTACTTTCATAGTTTTAAATTCTTACATATTACAAAGAGATATTTAATTGGATTTTTTAATGTTTACTTCTTTCTAAGAGTTTTTGTAACAAGCTCAAAGAAAAATCTCCTGAAATATTACCTGCAGTTTCATTATTAAGAAAAGTAGCGCCATTTTCGCTAATATACTTGAGTTGTGGGTTATCTTTAGAAAATTAAAACTTGTAAATTCATTCTAGAATCCTTTTAAAGTCTTGGAAACCATTAAAACGAATAAAATTAAGCCCTAGAAAAATTTGATTAAAATTTCTTACATTATCTTAAAACTTATCCCCTTATTATTAATCGCACTAGAGATTTACTAAATAAACGTTGATAAGAATCTGATATCTAACAAAAATAATTACATTTCCTCGTATTATCGATAACAAATAATAGGTATATTGCAAAGCAATATTTATTTAAAATAAATATCTCAATTTATTTCATTTTAAAAGTCGATTTTGTTCTAAACTCATTTCTTCGATTTTAAAAACTACATTTTACATTCGTTACAGGTTTGTAAACATTTATTTAGAACAATTCGCTATCTCTGCTCACTTCTTATTAATCGCTTAGTCACGTTCTAAAAAAAAAACCGTTCGGAATATTTTTCGTTCCAAATATCATGCACACTAATTCGCCCGTTTTCGTTTCAGCCGGGAAATCTTCGAAGAAATCGTGTAATGCTCAGGAAACTGTTGGAATTCCACTCGGAAGAAATTAGATGCGGCGCTTTTATGGCGAAACTAAACATGATTCGTGACATTACGGACGGATTTCATCCACTCGACGATTCCTCGAACGACAAAACGGTAGCGTAACCTTGATAAGTTGCGGAATATGCCAGGATTAGTGGTATTTAGGAGGAGATGGAGTGTTGGTTCAGACGATCTGGTTGTTCCAGGCGCATTCCTGTTTACCGTTCATTTGATATGGTAAGTGCAAAACGAAGAAAAACCCCTTTTTTTTCCAACGCTTTACTTAGAGAAACCTAGAGGATCTGCAACTATATGGTTTTCCATGTTTTAATCAAAAGTATTAATTGTGTATTGACCACAGATTAAAATAAACCAAATTGCCTATCCACCGAAATAACTTACTCTAATTACACTTTAAATACTAATTAGTAAGGTTTAAAATACATTAAGATTTTCATTGAAACAAAAGCCCTTTCCTCACCAACGTTCAAAATTCTCGTTCATACTCCGAACCAATCTCTTGTATCTTTCGAGTTTTATTTCTCATTTAAACCGGGTACGTTTTCACCGTGCGATAAAGAAAATCCGTTTAGCGCTAAATTCAATACAGAAACACGAAGGTTTCGCGTTGCAATTGCAGAGATATACACATACACACCCTCTCGACTATGGAAAGGGTCGATTCCTCCCTCTTCGAGGTCTCTAACACTTATTTATTGCACGAAGGGCTCTAGCTCGTGATGTATGTTGCATATGAATCATTAAACGACGGTAAGAGCCATCGAATAAGTTAGGTATAGGATAGCTGCAGATGGGAATGAAGTGCCCGATTTGAAATTGCACTGCACTGCACTGCATTTTTAATATCCTGCAGTAGAGATATGTACTTCCTGCACCGAAAATACTCCGGGAGCATTTGGTAATGTGGATTTTTTTTTAATAAAATTCTAATACTTTTTCGTCGCGTATATTTTATTAGTATCTCGTTACATAAATGAAATAAATTTTAATAATTTCGACGAATGGATGTGGTAGGTACCTAAATTGCGTCAAACTAAATAATAAATATTAAATATTTTTACGCACACTTTTGTCGTTGCGACATTTCAAAAAACAAGGTCGGTAAAAATGGAATTATTCCGGGCAAAATGTCAAGGCAAGCAAAATGAATTAATCCACTTATCAGGTGTTGGGAGTTGATGTTTACTGTTTACATTTTTTTTCGTTAAATTGCTGTATTGTACTTATACAAAAAAATTAGTCGATTAAATAATTGGATATTGGGAAATTATTATTAATACATGATGTCGCATAAATGTTAATCGATTGACTATTGATATTTGAATAAATTTAATAGGCGTGCATAAGAAAAAGTATGGGCAAAAGGTCATTAAGGATCGATGATAAAAAAGAGCCGGTGAACTGACTAAGGTAGAGACTCTAAATTTAGAATCCTTGAAAGGTCTCCCCAAAATCCATAATAGCTCGTTGCTTACTGAATACCCACCCTGTATACCTACCTAATTTAAAAAAAATAACCTCTAGATATCCAGTTATTCCCCAACTCATTACTACCTCATTTTTCACTTTGACCCAATTCCTATTTTTATATTCTTTTCACGAGCAATCCCAATCGGGAAGTAAATGCTGGTTGACCAGCAGAGCAGAATAAACGACGTCCTTCCTTCGTTTTCAAGATTCCGACGACTCGTTTCTTCTTAGAGTCATTTATATTGACTGCAGTTTCATCATAACAGGAGATTCGCCGGTACAATCTTCCATTTTGCGGAAACTTCCATGATTTTTCGTAAAATTGTTGCTGTCGACCTTAGCACTTGTGATAAAGCTAAATAAATACATTTTGAGCTTCTTTCACCTTGCGATCGACATTTAGCGAGGACATCGGCTAATAAATAATGTACCGATAATTAATTAGTTGGTAATACCAATTACACATAGCGAAAATATTCTCTGTTGTTTCATTGACAATTCGACAGAGTATTTGATATGTTTCTTTTTTTATAAATTTTAATTGTAAACTAATATCAACAGAATGAATGTTTTGTGATCTTTTTCCTATATCTCAGGATATCTTAAATGAATCTAACAAAACAAATTATTTTGTTCATAAAATTGTCCTTCACAATACCTGCAATTATTTCTGGGTTTTTGTTGATAGGAATTATCTCCAAAGTATTTGGGTTATTAAAACATGCAATTACAGGTAATTTAATTTACCAAGAACCTATTATTCTAATAATTGAAGGTTAAGGTGAAATTTAAATATACATACATGCATTCAAAATAAATATATAACTGAAATTATCTAGTATAGGAGCTATGCTCTAAATTTGAATGAAATTTTGTAAATAATCCACTTGGATATCCCAATTAGATACATTATGGCGAGTGCATTCAATAGCAATTATTGCTTTGTATGCACTGCAATTATTGATGTCTCCATACATTGATTGCAGTTATTATTATCTCCTATTTGAATAGTCTTCTGACGTTTCTATAGCATGATGCAGCTGTTTCGGTTAATATTGCGAATTAGCCGAAACTGCTGCGCGATGTTTTGTTCCTACCAATATATCATTTCATTTATAAGGATACATTCAAAGCATTTGGTTAATGCTAAAATTACCTGCAGGATATTGTTGTCTATATGATTTGAATTGTTATATAGTTATTCGGAATTCCTTTAATCTCCGTGTGCTTGTACTCAGATATTTTTATCTGAGTTTTAAAAACAGATAGGTATTAGGTAATTACTCTAATGCTGTTTGTGTAAAAGTGAATTTACTTTATCATTTTTTTGAGTAGTGTATGATTACTTAAATTGCAGCCTATAGTGAAAAGTAACGGAAATTTGTCAGCAACGATATTAGAAACGAAATGACCTTGTGGTTTTATTTCTAAATTTCCATTTGTTATAGATATTATAATTTAAACCATAAAATTTTTAACGCACACGGAATACTATTTTTACATTTTCTATAATATTCCAACGTCGTATAATTGGCAAGAGTAGTGGAAATAATAAATAAAAATACTACGAAACATTTTCCCGTTACTCCGAATCTTTTTCTTCATTAATCTGTGAATAATCGTTCGGACCCCCATCGTTTTTTTTTTATTCTCTTTTTATTGTATACGAGACTTTTGTCGAATTTTTCCGCAGATCATAAGGTGAACGTTTTAGCGACCTCGACAATAATAAATATTGACACAATTAAATCAGCAAACGATTTTAATTTCATTACACTTATCTAACTCGCGTATATCGTATCCGGTTAATGTGGCAATAAAATAGAGAGATGGTAAAATTAAACGAAATTTTTCGCATTTATCATTTTCATTCGCGGTGAGTAAGTACGAATAGTACGAGTACATACATATAAACGAATACATCATTAGTGCGTTTCATTGTTAATAATTAATAAATAATAATCTAAATCCTGTTGACACTTGTTAACCTCTATTTTGATCACTATAGTTCCATGTTATTTAAAAAAATATATAACGAGGAACGAGCGAACACAAAACAAACAAATGTGTATGTATTTGAATTGTTCGCAATATTCTAATTTTATCATTATTGTGACATTATTCCCAATTCGAGATAATAACCAACGATCAAAGGTGAAAAATGCACTTACAGGATTCTAAAGTTTAATGATACGACAAATTTAATTCTTTTTATAACAACAAAATTAACTTAAAAAAAATATTTTCTTATTAGAAAAGTAGAAAAGTCGAAAAGTAGACATAATTTATAATATGTATACCTACATAATATGTATACCTACATTTTACTCGCTTAATTCTCGTTATCCTCTAAATTTAGACTCGGTAAATATGTAATGAATAGCTGATCTTCTGACATTCAGCTTGATTGAATTCATTACCGTGAGTAACTCGATCTAAATTGCTCGTCCGATTTAGAATTGATTTTGATTGATTCCCACGGGTTCTACCATTACCTAGTGGTGAAAAGAAATTTAAAATTAAAAAATACGAATTGTGCAACGTCGATTTTTCCTGTTAGAGAGACTCCATTCGACATAATGTGGTCTAATGTTGAAGGAATGTGGCGGTGTGTAATCCAAATGCATTTGGAGTTTATCTCGACATCGAGCGGTACAAAAACCGATAAGGTCGGAAAACTTTCGGCGAAATCCATTTTCTCTACCTTGTTAACCTAATTCGGCGGTATCATTTGTGTCGAGGTGTGTTATCTTTTATACCGTATTTCCCGTTTTATAGCTTCAACGGGGCCTCGATTCGATGATCTATCGCATGTCGCCTATCAGATAATACATACCTACCTCTCATTTTCCGAAACCCATTTCAGCTCTTCCAAGCCAAATCGATAATCCTTTTTCTGGCGACCTGCTAATATAAATAACTGGAACTAGTGCGTTCTCATTTCATTTAGTACCTATACAGTAGCAATGAAAAAAATGCGTAAAGAGATCTCAATTTTTGTATGAAAAGAAACTTCTAATTTCATGATGCTTTGGTAAAGAATTCTCACCCTTTTCAATTAAGTTTCCCGTAAGCCTTAAATAATCTTTTAGACATGTTGACATTTTCAGGATAAGATGGTAAAAAAGCGTCTACATTTAGTTTTATTAGTGTATTGAAGTTGGCAAGTTAAGTGGAATTTATCGATTACGTTATTAATACGGATCTATTTAACGCTATAACGTCTAGACGTTATGCAAATATCATTAAAAGATAGGACAATTAGACGTGTTTTAAAATACCATTAATGGAATTTTCATTAAACAATGATTCGTTCTTTTGTTTATTGTTTGCTTTAAGGAATTACCTGATTTTTATGACCTAGTTTGCTGATGGTAATAAAATTACTGTGTAAATTGACTGAATGTGAATTAATCAATCTATCACATTTTTTTAATGAAAATTTATCGTTTTGTATCTTTAAAATAGAAATGGACTAAATTTGACTGTTTATCTAAAATTTCACTGCAGTTCCTTATTCACATTTAAAAAGAAACATAATAATAAAAGGCTATTCTACGTTTGTCCTTTACAACAAAACAGTCGTTCATTATTAACAATTATTGAAAATACTGTTATCTTATATTTCCGCCCAATTATAAAATTAATGTTGTGTAACTAACGCTTAAACAAATAACTACGAGTTAATAATAGGTATAGGTATATCAACCGCATTAATTTCATATGTGCATAAACAAACTACATATATGTAGGTACCAACAATTTCGGAACGATTCCTACCGCATAAAATGCATATTTAATCAGCACTTTTCATCGATTTTTCCTTGCATTAGTATCGTTAGTACACAGCACTTTAGTAGCTTCGTTTTAACGTTCTAAACACTTTATACTTTCTTCGTATTAAAGAAGGAAGAAATATGAAAATGGAAAAGATAGGTATATGTTTATAAGAAATTACTTGTTATTAACTAGGATGAAAAAAACAATTTAATACCAAACTAAAAGACTGCATTTTGTGAGTAACTACTTAAATTTGGCTTCCGTAAATTAGGTAAGTACTTCAAAATGGTTTTATAATGGAAAAATTATCGACGAACGAAATGACCAGAAATTTTCCAAGAGGCAATGAACCCTCGCATAAACGCTATTCCATACTTTGTGTAATTTGACCTTATTTCGAATCAATCGATCCAGCCCTGACGACTAAATCTTTACCAATACTTTCCGATAACTCCGTTAATTGTCAAATTGGAGTCGAAGAAGATGATGTTTTTTTTCATCAACGCCCAACCGAACCGAAATTAAATTACTCTACCATTCCATTTCTTGTACCCTCATGTGACTCATTCTCGAATTAAAAAGCTTCGATAAATTTTTAATTATCCGACGCTCCGCAACCGGGCCTACAGGGAGATAAGGAAATTTACGATCTGTAATAATTCGTTGGAATTTTTCTACAGGGACTATAATGAACCCTCCGTTGCTAGCTATACATTCTTTATAATAATAATCATGCTGTTTGTGTATAAGATTGAAAATATTACAGAATATTATCCAACAATTAATCATCAAAGAATCCATCTAAAATACAATTAAAATTGCCGTACTTATAAAACGAAAACACACTCGCAATTCAAAAAGATTATCGTTAAAACTAGCGTAAGTACGTTCTCCCTTTAATATCGAGGCAAATATTTGACCGAATAAACGTAAAAAGCTCCTCTAAAAGCCGGCCACCCTCCTTCATCGTTGCGGTGTTTCGAATTGGAATTCCAGTCAGCAGTTTCGGGGGAAAAGAAAGACAAACGAGGCAATATTTAAGGGTCTCGGCATCGCGCCGCTTTAAATCCCCATCCCGATATAAAGATAAACGCCTTCAAGAGGGTTAAGAAATTTCGCGACTCGTTCAATCCGATTTGATGCAGCCGGAACTCGAAAAAAAAGCTTCATTTAGAACTGTTTGGATCGAATGAAGTTTTCTAAACGGACAAACTTTTTTTTTATAAAGACTTATTATGCTTTAGTAGAAGGTAAAGTAAGTAAATTTTATTTATTTTTATGTTTCAGGACCATTATACTAGGCGTTCTGCTCTTCCTAGTAAAATACGATCGAAATCGTCAATGTATTTTCTTGATGTGGGGGTTGCTGGTTGGATATCTAGTCATTTTAATACTTTCCATGGTCATCGAAATATGCGTTTGTGTAGTGGCCATGCGTGGAAGCATTCTAGACACAGGAAGAAGAGCTTCCATGCAATATATACTCTACCTCAGATTAAGTGAGTATTTACAACAATATGTAGATACTATTTATTCGCATATTTCTTTGATATTAATTGAATGAATGAATTGTTTGTTTCAGCTGTGATGATCGTAGAAGCCGCTTGGTTATCGGCTGGAATAGCCTGGCTAGTGAAATATTATTTAGACTGTCCTATAGATAAAGCCAAAGAAATAGTTTTAAGTAAGTTCCTTCGCACTCTAAATACTTTGTTTCGACTTTTTAATAGAGTAGAGTTGTTAAAAATATAACATTTTTCGTGCTTTCGCCGCAGTTTATGGCTCATTTTACGATTTCCATTTGGATTTAGTACGGGATTTTAGTTAATTAACATGCTAAATACTCCCTAAACGTGCGTGCAAAATATGACTATAAACTAATCCGCAAACACGCACCTACAACGCGAAAATCCCTCTATTTATTTTACCCAAACATTTTACAATGTAATCGTAATTTTGTTTTAGTTATGGTAATTTTTAATTGGTGCATCCTCTTCTCGGTGATAGTAACAATATGGTGTACATACGATTCCGCCGGACGTTCGTGGGTGAAAATGAAGAAATATCAGCGTTCGATGAGAGAATCCGAGTCAAAGTTCCAATACAAAAGGTCCGGGAGCGCTCGGAATTGGAGACAAAGGTTCATATTTGATATACATCGGTGGAAGATTTAATCTTAATAGTTTGTATGGTTTTATTTAGGAAAGTTCTTAGAGCTTATCAAGATAGCTGGCACAACCGGTGCCGGTTTTTGTTCTGCTGTTCATCGGCGAGCGATCGCAATCGAAATTCCTTCGCCGATATCGCCAGATTGCTTTCGGATTTCTTCCGAGACCTGGATGTCGTTCCTTCCGACGTGATAGTCGGTTTAGTTTTGCTTAGAAAGTTTCAGAAAATCGAGCAGAAAGCCATCGTCGAACAGGTCAGTTGCATCAAATAAGTTAATTAACGGGACGATAATTAATTCGATAAATTAATTTGAATTTTTCAGCGCAAAAACGACACGTACGAGTTCCTATCGGGCGTCGCCATAACGCCTCGAACGCAATTCCTGTCTTTACACGAGGACGGAGTGGATTTGGAATTGTTTCAGGGCGTCATACATTTCGCCCATTTCGCCGTCAGGGCGTACGGTTGGCCCATATTTATGGTAACAAATTCGATGGGATTGTGTCAACTTTGCGCCGGTCTAAGGTGGGTTCTAAGAAAAATTTCTATTCTTTTTATTGTGGAAATAGCTTCGTTACAAATTCGGCTTGTTATGCTCATTTAGAGTTAAATTCCGCGTTGCTTCGGGGATCGAGCAAATTCACTATTCATTTACATAGCGAAGTTCAAGAAACTTTCCGCTTCGAATTATTAATTAACGAAACTTTGTTGTAATCGATGAACTAACTCGAACGAATCAAACGATAGGTCATTACAAACTTCTGTTTTTGACTTACCTACATACTTTCGCTTTGATCCAGCATAACGAAAGTGAAAAGTATCCACGACGGGATTATTTTTTGTTTTTAAATGTTTTCATTTTGTCCGTATTTTTAGATGTTGTTGTTGCATTCCTTGCCGCAAGAATTCGGACGCTATTCCAAAAATAGTCGACGACAATTGTTGTCAATGTAACTACGCAGCTTTAGAAAAATTGACTGATTACGGAGACATTGAGATTATATACGCTACTTACCACGTAGACATAGGCCAGACACCTTTCTTCGTTGCAATTGATTATGATAGGAAAAACGTCGTCATCAGTATCAGGGGCACCTTATCGATGAAGGTAATTTTGGAAAATGAACTGAAATGCTCTCCATCTGGTGGTAAAAACTGAAACAACTAGTAAATCGTACCTAAACTTGTTTGTGGCAGAGCTATAACCGGTTTGTTTTAACATTTTCAAAGTATTTCTCGAAATTAATTCTACGAATTAATGATATAAATTAGAGGATCATTAGATCTAGGTGGTCACGGGGCTGGGAAGACCGCCCGCATAAAAACAACAACAACAAATGATATAAATAAACAGAAGTACTTACCCAATAGGGAATAATTCACTTAACAAGTTCACTAACTTAAATAATCCAAGAAAAAAAGCCACGAAAAACAGCTTAAAAGAAAATGATAAATTCAAACGGTGGACAGTTCTACAGTTCATTTGCGAATCTCTTTTTTTCTCGGTCCTCTCCTATTGATTTACTGCTAATAAAAAAATATATATTTGTTTAGGATATCCTGACGGATTTAAACGCAGAAGCCGAAACCCTTCCTCTGGATCCTCCCAAGGACGATTGGCTTGGACACAAAGGGATGGTACAGGCGGCCCAATACATTCTAGAAAAATTAGACGAAGAACAGCTGATCGAAAAAGCCTGGGCGCACAAACCAGAAAGAGAATCATCGACTTTCGATATCGTTATAGTCGGTCATTCTTTAGGTAATAAATATTTTTACCTATACCAATTTTTGGTTCTATTCCATTACAACTCGACGAATTTACAGGAGCAGGAACAGCTAGTATTCTAGGTATACTATTGAGGCAAAGACATCCGACTCTGAAATGCTTCTGTTACGCCCCGCCCGGTGGCCTTCTTTCAGCCCCAGCGGTTGATTATACGAAACAATTCACCGTGTCAGTGGTCGTTGGTAAGGACGTCGTACCTCGAATCGGTCTCTACCAAATGGAAACATTAAGAACCGATCTCATTAACGCCATCAAACGGAGCGTCGATCCGAAAGTAAGTTCGTTTACTATATATCTAAGTATTTAATATCTGGTGATTTTTTTTTTGTAATTTCCAGTGGAAAACGATATCGTGCAGCGTCCTCTGTTGCGGGTGTTCGCAACCAACATCCGCAGTGGAATTATCAACGGGTGAAAAGGACGTTTGCGAGTATATGAGGAGCAAAGAGAACGCCAGATCTTTGGGTTTGCATCCTTCTGATAGTAATATTGCTTTGACTAGTCACCAGCCGTTGTTTCCACCTGGTCGTGTTATTCATATCGTCAGGCATCATCCTTCGGCAGGACAGTGAGTAATTGCTTGCAGTTAAATTGTTTTAATAATATTTGAGGATTTACTTACCGATATAGCTAAATTATTGTTCGAATAGAATGCTGCTTTTTTTTTCTATTACTTTCTGTAGTCTTTTCTACATCTTGTTGATTAAGTATTGAGTAGGTTTTTTATTCTATTTAAACATATAGTATGAGAGTGCTTTTTCATTTTAATATCACAACACATTCGCAATATTCTCTTAACTAAACCAGATTTATACTACATTTTTATAAATTCAAACAAATTCTCAAATATTATAAAACGAATATCGCAATAAGTATATTTCACATGCATGATCGCCGATTTTTTTTCAAACCTACTAACAATTTATTTTAATAATTTCAGACAAAAATATGAAAAAAGATGGAGGTAACAATAACTAACAACACTATTAACGAACCCATTTCCTGGTGCATGATAGATGAAAATTATGAAGTTTTATTTCATTATTAGAAACTCAAATTTTTCCAACTTCATATTTTTCATCGCTTTCACGCATGTGAATTCGATCTGGATTTAAAAAATTGAAACACGATGATTTTATGTCGAATTGCAATAATTAGTAGAAATGCATCGTTAAGTTTGAAAGCCTCCCTTTTGGTTATTTTTTTATTCGTAGCTAACAGACTGTCCTGTGTTTAAAAAATACCGTTAATTTATTTCGAATAATTATTTAAAAACGCTCTGTATCCAGTAACTATCGGTATGTAGCTGTAGTTAACAAATTAAAAAGTAATTTTTAAATGTGAAGTAAATAATCATTATTTCTTAAAGCAGGAAATATAATAGACATAAGTTATTTTTATCAAATTTTCGAATAAAAAGCCTTATTTTCTTCCGATTTTCCTAGCGTTCTGTTTGTAATATGTGCCGTTCCTATAATTATTTCACTTAACCCTTATTAAACAGTATAAAATCGATCAAATTTCCACTCGACTAATAGGAGCGAATAAAATACCATTAGCAATTAACTAATAACCTAAAATACAAGCCAATTGCATGAAAAATTGCAACCCTGAAGTAATAGTATTCCAATATTATTGTCTTTTTAGTTGTGCCGTCTCGTAATATGTGATTGCTAGATAAATTAATATTTGAATATGCTAGTAATTAACTCTGAAATATATATACAGGAAGATACAACATACTTAGGTACCTCAAGTGTTTTATCTTCTTCGCTTCTTCCGGTTCATTTACCACCCGAAAAATCGAACAAAAAAATTTATTTATAGACAATCAAGTGAATTGAATCGTTGAATTTTTTTTAGGCAAGCACTGCACAAAAACGAGCCAGTTTACCAAGCCCTTTGGGCCCAAAACATCGACTTCGACGAAGTGCTGATATCTCCAGTCATGATTCAGGATCATATGCCGGACAAAATACTCGACGCCCTCAACAAGGTATGTGATCACATGAGAGATTGCCATTATTTAGATTCGCGACCAATTTACACGATCGAGAGCGACTTGACGCTTGCATGAGCTTTCGGTGTTTCTCTCTCGTACCTTCCCCGTCGAATGACTATAAATATGTAGTTGTTTAGTGCATTGACTCATCTATAGGAGAGTCGGTTCATTCGAAGATGTAATTCAATGAATTAAAATGTGCATTAGATGTAATTAGTACCTGCAAGTAGACATTGTTCGCAGTATGAGCATGTATTATACATTGGTTTAATACTCGGATTTTGTGAATTTATTACGCCGATGTGTTCGTTAAAATCATTTTTTTTTAGGTAATTTTTTGTGTTTATTTATTTATCCGAATCCCAGTAAAAGCGTGAATATTTCTACGTTTCTAGTTTAAATCGTATTTTTTTATAATTTTGTGATAGTAAGCCAAATTTAAAAAAGTGTCGCCCCCCATTTTAATAAATTTACTTAAAGGTAAACACTTGTGATGAGGCATTTCCTACATATTTGTTTTTATTTTTCTTAAACTATTATTAAGTTAGTAATTGTACATTTTCACTCACTATTTATTTGGTCTTGTACATTTTCATACACGGCATAATTTTAGATGATTTTAACACGTAGAATTGCCTGGATAAATTACTTAATTCATATCTATTTATGATAACGCAAAAATAAATGTATAGTAGGTATTTCTAAAGTCAATTGAATATTCTATTGGATTCATTATTATTGAAAATATAATCATATTTGTACTATTCATACAATTGATTTTGGAAAACCAGAACTTACCTACACCTACTAAAACATAAAAATCATTACACATTCAAATAGGTCCACCCTAAAAAAATTGTCTGTTAATAACCTTTCTTTTATATTTGTTTTTATATTCGCGAACAAGGTTTGTATTATTTATTTGTATCTAATACCGAATAATAAAACGCCTTGTAAAAATTAAACTGTATATTGTAAGATAATATTATTGATATCAAATATCTACTTAGTATATTAAATAATAATAAGTGCTTTAAAAACGTTGCAGTTAATATTTATGGTATTTTATACGCGAGACTCATATTGGGTGCTGTATGTAAAATATACCTAATTTTATAAAAAAAAAAACTAGTTATATTTTTTGTCTTAGACATTTTTACCTTTATTTCGCTTCGACTGGAATTGTATCTTATTTTCTATTTACTTAATTATTGTATGTAAAATTTATTTTTGTAATTAGTAATGTAACATTAAAGCTTTTTTATGTACAATTTTATTTTTATTATTTTGAATGTGTTTCTTTTTTTGCTTAACTTTATGTAATGCTTTAATCCTTACGCAAAGACATTAAAAGGCTTCGTCCATTAGAAGACAAATCGAAGTACTCACCAGAATTACCTCCAATCAGACATCACCCTGTACAGTCAGAACTTTGTTTTGTACATCTAATTAATTTTTTGTTCACGCTAACCCTTTAACAAAACATATGTACTTGTAACATAATCAATCAACTCGAACAGCCCTGAATTTATAATAATTGGTGTTTTGCATTTTGGCATGTACCGATTAGTTAAAAACTTGTACTTGTTTTTGTACTTTGGCGTTTGATAGCAAGGTGTATATGTATGGACAGGTCCGGCTTAAAGGGGATAGAAGACATCACAGTTCGTACATCAGGGGCACAACCCCCGTAGATATCAAACCTCCTCCGTCTGATACCAGGTATAGTATCGTTCTAAAAGCGCTGCTTTCCCTCCACCCCCCCTTCGAGAATTTACGCCCCTTTGCGTATCAACCCTTCAACATACGTACCCCGTCAATTAGTAGTTAGGTGCTTTAAAAAAGGATTAATCAAACTGTACAGAAAATGGAAACTAATTTTTTTAATCCAATTTTTATCGTGGAATAATTAGTGATTTTTGTTCATGAAACAAATCGGTTAATAGTGGGTTACATATAAATGCTTTTTTTTTTCGATTTATTTTTTTGTGAACAAGACATACATATTTAAGTTCCTCATGAATGTTAGAGGTTGAGTAAAATTGTAGCTTTATGTCGTTGCCATTATCAACATTTAGAAGCATGTTTCACATCCTTTTCCTTATTGTTAGTAACCAAAAAAAAATTAATAATTTTGCGAATAATTGTTATTTTGATAGTGGTGTGTGTACCTCTAAACTGGATGGAGTAGTGAGTGATATAGTTTCTAATCTGAACACATCTTAAGTAATAGCGCTTCATAGTTGCAGTAATAGAAACACCTCTCTGTTTGTAGTTTATGGTGAATCTTGGAATTATTAGCATGCGGTAAATATATAATTTGTATGCAAAATTTCCGGATTTTAGTCATTAGTCGGTACATACAATACTTTTTAACTCTTTCAATTTAGTGTTAATAATTGCATTGTATAGGAAATTGTTATAAATAAATCCGGAAATTTGTCGCGACCTTCCTTGCATTCTGCAAGTCGAGTTTTCTCTTCTAGGTTGTAACTACCATGGGCCCCAGAAAACCACAACGTTCATCTTCCACCAGCGAACAATCTGCGAATTACCATTCGGCGACTTCTATACCAAATTGCTTCTTAGAAACGAGCTTCACGTCTTTGCAAAGCCCTTCGAGCAATTCCTCCATCACCAACGGATATTACTCCACCAGGAGTCAACCGTCCCCCGTTTCATTCAATCGCATCACCAAGTCATCGACAACGGTTATCTGTAACAATTTAGATCGGTAAATTACGTGAAAATTTACTATTTTCAGCTTTTTTAACTCACATTTGTGCAGGTCCGCGTCAGCTTTACAAGGCCCCTGCTCCGTTCACCCGACGAAACTCCAGCCGTCCAGACCTGAGCCTAAGACTATCAGCCGCAGCCTCAGCCTCAGCTTGAGGAGTTGCAATAGTCCCAAAGTCGATTTAATACACGACGATTGGCTGGGATTAGCCCCATTGGCCAGTCCAGAGAGCCTTTCCGAATTGTCCAGCATCAGCTCCAGAACTAGCTTAGTAACAACTACTAATGTTATTGTAGAAATTAATCGTACACCTAAAGTAAGATCGAGAACATTATGTTGATTTTATGTTTCCGCACAAATAGATTTTAATTTTGTAGATAATGCGGAGGACGCCTAAAATTATAGGTAGCCTTAGTACGTGTGCGGATGATATTAGGAACATAAGAAATTTCCAGAAAGCCAAAACTTTTACCAGGCTGCTCGTGAACAACAACATAGAGAGTTCTTCTAGCAGTAATATAAGTTACGAATCGGCTTCGAGCGGTAACAGATGTTGCCAGGATACTTCTACAAGGGATAACAGCTGCATGGATCTCCATTGCGGGTACACGACTATTTCATTAATAAATAAAAGCTTCGGGTGCAATTCTATGTTATTTTAGAGGTCAGGATTATGATCCCAGCGATAGCGAGTTTCAATCGGCTGAAGATATATTGGACAATGTTCTAGCTAGCGCTGGTTGTAAGGAGTTTTTTAATTCTGAATCAAACATCTTGGAAACGAATTTCGACTTTTTGCCAGATCAACCGCAGAGCCTCACTATTGGGTACTTTGGAAACTCTCCGGTGTTCTCTACCGTAAGGCATTATTAATTCGTTTTTTTTTGGTTTACAAAAGACTTTTCTCGATGTGAAAAATTATAATAATACGTTATAATTATTGTTTTATTGTTAGTGTAGATAGAGGTTTCAATTTATAGAACCGGTGGTTGATAATTATTTCTATACTCTAAATGAACCTGTCCGATGCTTTGCTAGTAATTTTTTATAATTCTATCGCTTATAATTCTTATCTTTACTACGCTTTGTACCATTTTCTGTCAGGCATTTACATTTTATCTTACATTTTTCCACTTCAATGATCTCAACACATATTTCATCTATAAACATCATTCGTTTTACACGACTCTATCAACTTCCACCACAAAAAAATGAAACACCAGTAGGTACATATTGAAGACACCTCGAAATATCTTTCCGCTCCTCAACAACAGGCCTAATACCAATACATATTTAACCAGGTCACATCGCCGTGCTCCCAGCAGGAAATCGACCAAGACCTGATATCCAATTTGGCCATCGACCTGAACCTGGACGAAGAACACCGAGCGATCCGCATCCAGAAAGCTCCCAGCCAGATATCCAGCAGCGTCGATTCGGGCAGCGTCTGTCGCACGCCCTCCGACATCACCAAGAACGTCACCTTCAATCCGGAAGTGATCACCGTCGATGCGGCTGCATGCGAAAGCCGCAGCTCGCCGCCCAAATGGCGCCAACTGTTCAAAGGCAGAAGCGCCAAGCAGAAGCCCGAAGGCGTCCCGGCGCCGGCGCCGTCGAGCGTCAATCCGAGCGCGGCGCCCATAAAAACCATACTGTCGATGAAAAGGCGGAGTAACGAGGAGGTGGAGGGCTTGGCGCCGGCGCCAAACAGGACGATGTCGTCGAGGAAGCGGAGCAGCGACGATGAGGATAATTCGTGTTTTTCTAGGACAGAACAGCTGCCTCTGTTGGCTGGTTTGAGTGGTGGTGTAGGTGAAAGGACGCCTAGTCCTTGTTACGTGAGAAGGAAAAAATACGTTTATCCTGCTGATGTTGTGGTTATGTCGCAACAGCCGAACGAAAGTGCAGTATAAATGCGTATTTTTGCATGATGTATGTTGTCGAGATTTTATCGGTTGTTACGTGTTAGATAACTACGAAATGTTTTGTGTGCGTCGGCTTAGAAGACGGCGATTTATGAAAAAAAAAATTGTAATAAATAAGTCTTATGTTTGGCTGAAATGTTCCGTCAATTCGAATATAAATTATACGGTAAGAAGTGAATTAAAAATTGCATGTTTCAGTATTATCGTATCTCTGGATATTTAGAAATGGTACTTCAATTGGCTCTTTATTATTCCACAAAAGTAACCAAAAGTACTAATCCTTCGATTGCCCATCTTCAAAATCCCTTCTCTAATACTTTGAACATATCTTAAATCAAATTCTAAAAAGAAGCTTTACTCACCCACCTGTATACGAATAATCATTCCTATTGATACATAATCCATTTCTGAATATCCTCCAACTACAAATTGTTTATCGCAAATTTTATAGAATAGAAAAAGTATTAATTGTATTTTCAATTGTTGAACGTTTTAAAACATTCTAATTGCCTGTCCATAGGTGGTAACGAAATGGTAGTTACTGCTTGTAAGAATTTTATTCACGTTTTTTGGTAGAACGAAAGTTTTGAAATTGAATTTAATGTTAGGGTCCAATATGTACAGATTATTAATTTATTATCTATGTAACATAATGAAGATTCTATGAATATATACTTTGTATCAATTTTCCTCTTAGTCATTTTCCTCACTTTCTCTTTCATTATTAGTCATCATCTCGATCTTTCACTTCTTTCTTCGGTTCTTTAGCGACATTAGAGTAAGCCCGCTTTAATTTCTGGCTCCTACGTAGTATTAAATTTGTTGTTCGTCTTAAATATGTTATTTAATTTGATCAGGTAAGTACAGTATAATATTTAAACATTTTTTTAAACATATGGATAGCTGGCATCGAGTAAAACTCCGCAAACGGAGTAATCTCTGTGGATTCTGAAGTAGCCCTGCTCACCCCAATCGGCGCCCCAGGAATTCTTAATCAACCAATATTTCTCCCCTTTATCCGTGCCAAAACCTACCACAAGAACGGCATGATTCAAACTGGCCAGATTATTCCCACAATTTTTAATATCGCTGTAAACACCGCCTTTGTATTGATGAAACGGAGACGCGTCTATGCTTACAGTTACCGGACCAACAGTGCCTAAAATAAAAAAAATAATAATAAACAAGAAACGAATAGATTAAATTATCCACACGAGTTCTTGAGAACATACCAACAGCCTCTTTAAGCGCTTCGTCTGTTTGATTCACTTGACGGTAACCTGCGATGTTCAACACCACGTTTTTCTCGGAGTATTTACATTCACCGTCTTTAGCTTGATATTTGTACGAACTTTCCGCCTCGATGCCGTAATCGACGACATAATCGAATCCGAAAATCTGCCTTCCTCCGTAGCAGCCGTGATTACCATACCTGATCGAGCAGTCTGTCAGCTGCTGGGGGCTCAGCAATACCGAAGAATTCTTCTTTATGGCGTTCAGACCCTCCAGAGCACCCACCTGAATGTTTAAACAAAATTAGAGGGTTGCAAAAGCTTCCAGCTAAATCATTTATAGGAGTAACAATTAAATGATAATAATGTTATATAACTTACAGCTCCGAATGCCCAGCAGTTACCGCAGTCGCCTTGGTCTCTGACTTCCAAGACAGCCCCTTTTTCTCTCCAGTCGATGGACTCCGGGATTTGGGTATTTTCTGGATGTTTATGAGGGGTTGTTGTGATTTTAGGTTTAGTGAGAGCCTGTAATTGAAGCATTTTGTTAAACTCCTCCTCGGACATGTCGGTGAATTTGTTGACTCCCATGTAATAGGTAACTTCGCCTTTGTTGTACATTTCATTGTGCTTTCGGATGATGTTCAAGTTTTCTTTGAATACCTGGAAACGATGGGTTTCCTCTTCGGAGTTGTCGTAGATTTTGTTGTAATTTTGCTGCAAATTATAGTATAAATTAGAAATAAATTAAATATGCAATGATATTGTATAATTACTTTAAATGAGTTCCATTCGGATTTTAAACACAAGCTGTTAGTACCGATGGCTAAACATACAAGTAAGAAAATTATTTTCATTTTGTTATCGATGGTTTGCGATTAGAAAATGATCTTTTTTACGTTCGCTCGTTTGAAAAATATAAATCATGAGATGCTATTTATATTTAATCATTAGAGGTACCTATTAATCAGTACGATTTTTAAAATTGCCACTTCAATTTAAATGTATAATTCCAAAAGATAAGATGAATGTGGAGATATTTTTCTCCAAATATCCAAAAATCTAGAGTCTTGTAAAAGAAAACAAAAAGAAAATTTAAAAATAAATAAAAATTATTAGTACTGGGTCATTAAAAAAATTTACAACGAAATCAATTGTTAACGGATTTTAGTAGTTTAATAAAAATCTCTGTAATTACAGTTAGTGTAGATTTGCAATTTGGAGGAACAATAGATGTAGATATTAGTTTTTATTTCTCTGTTACTATAACCATAATGTTCACTAAAGCCAGGTACATAATTTTCGAATTTGTAAATTTTCATAGTGTAATCATGCTCTTCTAATAATAAATAACCTTTTGATATTTATAAATTTTTGCAAAATTCCAGGTAAGATGATTTTTTCTTTTCTATACGATTGTATGATTGTTTGAATGTATGAAAAAGCAATTCAAGAATGCATTAAATAGATAAAATGAATGGATGAATAAATTGACAATTAATCAAAAAATGTCATATTTTCGCTGCAAAATTAAGTACTTAAAACTTGACAAAAACGGTCAAGTTAAAATCTAATTGCATTAGAACTAAATCCTCCTACAAATTTTACAGCTAGTGAAGTAAAAAAAAACATCATATAAAATCCTTTTAACGAATAGTATTCAATAATATTACACCAGTGCTGTATCAGATGCACTTATTCACAACCACAAATGTTTCTTAACATGCATATGATGGCCATCACGGACATAATGTATTTCAAATACTTTTTTCTTATACTTATTTTAGTGTTTTTATACTGAGAGGAGTCGCCAAATTTTCAGTAGAATTAGGTAAGTTTCTTTTTTAATTCTTTTAATCGGTGCATTTGTATTTATGATGTTGAAAAATTGTTTGATGTTTGTTCATTAATAGTAATAAAATTGTTCATTCATTTATCAAAAAAAAATAGCGAAAAGAAAATTTAAATTCTGTATTTATTTTCTATAAAAAAATCATGAATTTCATGTTACATTTCGAATAACAATATGGAAATGTAGAAATTTTATTGTCGAACGTAATAAGGGATAATAAAATCTATAATTCTTTAAATAGCTACAGGTCCACCTGCATTCCCAGAACCATCATTAGTTCACTAGGTAACAGGACAGGGAAATCCTAGCTGCAGCCGCCCACACACAGACTAAACAGGGATGCTGGGGAAAGAAAATCAATAAATCTCGATTCTCTTGATGCTGCTGGCCCGCTTCCATTTCCCATTGGAAAGATGTAGTCGGCCGGGTAAATACGCGATAGCAACCTTCTCCCTTGGTTTCCCGTTTTTTTTCCCTTCTGTTCCAATATTTTGATGAGATGGCTTTATTCAAAGGATTGCTGTACTTTTATTTGTGGTATTCAAGCATTTTCGCAGGTGAGTTTTCTTAAAAACGCATTTTGCCGGTTGTTTAAAAAATAATATTCTGTTCATTCAGCTTTATTTTATCAGCTCGTTCATATTTTTTAAGTGTTTTGCATTGGATAATTGAATTTTTTGTATTTCGTTTCCGTTGATAAGATTTTCAAATCGCTGCAAGACGACGAGATAAAATTCCTAGACTCTTATTTTATTGTAAAAGAATTTTTTTGTGAATGGGAGTGAAAAAATAATTCAATTCAAAAAAGATAAATACGAAAATATTGATATTTAGGTGATATTGCATGGTATTTAGAATGTATTGGAAAATTTCGGAAAATGCTCCAACGCAATTACGCCTTGATGCGCGCCATTATGGTGGAAAATTACGCGCCAAATCCAACAAGGTGTTGTCCTAATTTTTCAATTTGAAAATAAAACCACTTCGGCATTTCGAAAATACAAATTGTATAGAAATTAATAAACTGATGGAATATTTTGTGGTTTTGCAAAAAATTTTCCACATCAAATTATTCTTAAAATTATTTTGCAATCATTATGAGCGGCGACAAAAATACATAATTCCTATAAGTGTATTTAATTTTTCCTAAACACCCAAAAACATCTAAATTTTTTGTTTCAGGTTACGTCTTTCTTTTTTGTCCTTTGTTCCCAGTACTTCTAATTTCCAATAAACTCTACCGCTATATATCGGATATTTTATTTACGTATTGGCAGTATTACCCAACGGTAAGTACTCCATTGCGCATCTTACTCTTAGTTGTTCCTATTAATCATTAACAGTTAAAAGTTTCTTCGAATTACTATAATCCCACAAGCATTAAGTGGAAAATTCTTTCAGGCTCTGACGGAATTCTTGTTCGGTTGTAACATCCAGGTGTCAGGCGATGCGATTCGCACAGGAGAAACCTCTCTCTTGGTAATGAATCACAGGACGAGGACGGATTGGAATTTCTTCTGGCCCGTCCTTTACCACAGCGTCGAAGGGCGCGGTAAATTGGCCCATTCCACCAAGTTTATCCTGAAAGATAAGATACGGCACATTCCAGGGCCAGGTAAAAATCACTTATTATACCCGATTGGGTGTAAAATATATATGGAATAATTTTAGGTTGGATCATGCAACTGGCCTGTTTCCTCTACATAAAGAGAAATTGGCTAGTAGATCGATTCGTTTTCGAAAAATACATCAACTATGTCGCTAGGATAAAATACAAACACAGTCTCCTGATATTCCCGGAAGGGACTGATTTGACCCAAGACACTAAGAAAAGTAGTGATAGATATGCTGAGAAAAATAATTTACCTGTAAGCACATCATTATTTCGACTAAAAAATATTTCGATCTTTGATATATTTTCTAGACTTACGATTACGTTCTTCATCCAAGAACTACCGGATTCGTCTATTTAGCCAAGCAACTGTTATCCTCGGACAATCTGGACGCCATTTACGACATCACTCTGGCTTATCCAGACGTAATTCCCGAAACCGAGCGATACTTGCTAGAAGGAAAATTCCCCAAAGAAGTGAGAGTACACTTAGTGAGGTAACAATCTCTGAATAAATCGTTGAACAAAATGTTTCAACGAATCGTTATTACAGATATCCGAAATCGATTCTACCGACCACCGAAGAGGACCTGAAGCGATTCCTGGAGAAGCGGTGGTGCGACAAGGAGAAAACCATCAATGAATTCCTGTCGACGGGAAATTTCCTGCACGGCAGGGTCTTGAGATGCGACAGGAAATGGGAGTTGTATTTGGCTTTCGCGTTCTGGACAGTCCTGCCCTACATCAGCATCTACACTTTCATCGTAATGGAATCGTTCAGGAACTTGGTGGTGTCGCACACGCTCTTCCTGTTGAGCCTCAACTTTCTCTGGGACGGGTTCCAGCATTTCGAGATGGTTGTGCAGGAGACGAGGGACAAAATCGTCGATGCCGTTAGAAGATTTGTTCCCGGTTTGGGCCGTTGATTCGAGTTATTTTAGAGTTGAATTTTGGTAGATTTGAAGATCCCGAAAATTCGAGTGCTTACCTAAATTCTAAACGAGCCGGAATTCGAAACGTTGAAACTCGTTCGCAGGAAATGTATGAATTAATTAGCGAACACAATTAATATTTGCTACAATAAGTCGATACCAATAAATTCTTGAAAAATAATCGTAACGAATATTGAAGGACGAGATTCTTTTTTTCAAGAGAATTAGTGTCAATTAGATGAATACGAATAAGACGTATTATTTGGTTTTTTAACGTTTTCTTCTCGACATTGAAAAAAAATCAATTTTAAAAAGTTTAAGGATTTAACGATATGTGAAATGTTTATCAAATTACGAATTTTCTTAATTACTCTCCTGCCATGAATGTTCTCGATTGGTTGGAGAAATTGTGTAAGGGTGTATTAACAAATGGTACTATTTACTAATCAATTTTCATCCAGAATTCACTTGTTTTACCTATTCTTTAATAAAAATTGAATAGTAATTGGGGCAATTGCACAATTTCCAAAAATAATAGTTATCCAATCGAACGAAAGGATTATCAATAACATACTGTTGAACAACAATTTTGAACAAGAATTCAATACAAGGGATTCTATCAATATGTAAAATACTTAAGGTCAAATTAGTTTAAAGGTATGCCTAATTAGACCATTTTACTTTATCCAAATTAAAATTTACAAAAACCTAAAGAGAGAGAATAGTATTTCTGGAAATTCCAAATTAGTACAACTTTTCGGAATTAAGCAATATTAACTCTTTTGGTAAAGTAAAAAATATAATTACAATTCGAGGTAAAAAAGTTATCCCTAATAATTATCCGGCAATTACAGTTGATTATTTTTAGAAACTAATTTCTTTCAAAAAATATACCAACTCAACCAACCTGATCTGATGTAAAGACTCATTCATCTCGTATTTAAAAAGCATTATACCGAATAGACTGAAATTACTATACCAGGATTTTACAAAAAACTTCTATTATTAAATAGAGTATTTTTCAAAAATGTTATTCATCCAAAAATGTCGGTGGTTTTGAGCACAAAAAAAATGGAAACAGAGAAGAAAGATTTATTTAACTCATTCGTAAAGTTAACGAGAACATAACAAACCACCAGTTAAACCATGTAGAATTGTTATTATTAAAAACATAAAGTGATGAAGCATGAATTTCTTAAATCCAGTAAGAGCCATTTAAGAATTGTAAATTAATTAAATGAGATTTAATGACGCTTAAAAGTAGATAATAACGCAAACCAAAACTGATTGCGATTTTTACAAATAAAAAAAACATTTAAATGAGAGTTAGTAACTATTTTGCTAAGAAAGAGTTTTGCAAATGTTGAATGATTCGAGTATTATTATAAGTACTACAAAAAGCGTACGTTCGGATGCTAAAATTACAAATTAACGAACTTTTTCAAACAAAATACGGGATATGTTATAAAAGGACATCATTAAAAGAAAGTTCAAGGGTTGAAAAAATTTGAAAATTCCCGATACTTTTCCAACGACTCCTTTTTGAATATTAGAATGTTTATTATTCTCTTTACTCAACCATTTCCTTTAGTTCAATGATATCAAAAAGGATATAATAAACATCCGATATTCAGAAAGGTTTATTTTCGATATTTTAACGTGTTGAATCTGCTTTTAATATTTCTTTTAGTAACGCCCCGTATATTGAAAAATCGTGAAATGCAATCTAACGTTAGAAATATTATAAAAAGTATGTTGAAAGAAACGAATTTTCTTGCTTAGCAAGAATTTTTACAAGAAAAGACTCTTCTGAAGTAAAACGCGGAATCTATACATTTACTGATTGTTCTGTAAATGTAATACATATTTGTAAAACGGGGCAAACCCCGTAAAAAATTATTAATAACCCTTGTTAGTTTTAATAATAATTAGTGGTAAAACTACTATAGGAAACGCGAATGCACTCTACGTTAGATTAAATAAAAATAATTTAAATTGTCCTCCGGAACATAATGAAAAATTTGTCTATCCATAACAAAAAAAAAATGGATATCCTAGTATAGGGTTTTAATTAATCGTTAAATTTAGTACGATAATTTATTGACTAACAGTAGATAATTCGTGACAGATGTTACTTCTTTCTGCTCTGCTTATTCAAATTATGCTATCGGTGTTACTTTCTCAATGTATTTAAAATATATGTGGGCATTATATTAATCATATATGTATCGTTTAAGTACAAGATGTTTCCCCAAAAATGAAGCCATTTTGTCGAAGGTTAAAGTTAGAATTATTGAGAAAAAAAAATCAATCGGGTTTTTTGGGTTCGATGGGTTATTTGTTGGGTAGGAACATCGTTACTAAAAAATATCGATGTTAAATGTTTAATCAGTGTTATTTTAAATGTTGCATTAAAAAAATATTATAGCGTAGAATATACAGCTTTTTGTGGGAATTTCAATTCATTATACTTGGTAGATTTAGGTATATGATGAGTATGCCAATAGGTACTTACAACAAATGCTCATTTATTATATTATATGTATTAATGAATGTCTAATTACTAATTTGCTCATTAAAGTAAATTAATAGAAGTGATCATATTTAAATATGAGTTGCAAATATTGGACAAAAAACCCGAAATGTTCATGGAAAACGTACAAATATTAGATATCACAAAATAATGCAGATATACGACGATGTTCTATTTACGAAAAAATAAATAGCTCGAAACATATCATAATAAAATTATTGATTCATACGACACAACATGAAACAAGTTACAATCAAATAAAACTACAGAATGATTTAATCAACCAACTTGACAATGGATTGAAAAAAAAATTATTAAAACAACTGGAAGAACTAAAATATTTGGTGGCAAACAATGAAGGTCTAATTTAAATTTGCGTTGTTCACGGATAGAAATAATTTTCTATTTCCAAAATTAACATTCTATTGCGTGCTGTTCCGGTTCAAGTTCAAATTACAAGTTACTTTTTGGTTATTGATTGAGTCGAATTTGTAGAAAAAAATAGTGTATGATCCACTCTATAGTTGCAAAAATTTAGGACCAACATCATTTGCACTGGATGAGATTCATTTTAATCCTTAAAGTTTATCTCAGGAAACGTTCAAAAATTTTGAAAAACGTCTTTTATAAGAACATCTGTTAGATTAAAATGTCCAAAAGAATCTGAAGCAATTAAAATTTCTATCATCCAGAGTAAGCTTAAAATTTAAATAGAATCAATAAGTGCAATAATTGCTCTTTTTTATAAATTAGTAAATATAAAGGAAATCATACACGTTTTTTTTCGTTAATTTAATTTCCTATTGTTTATAATTATCTGTTTAGTTTATGAATTAGGAAAAATATGCAATAAAAGGTTAATACAAAAGGAATTTATGAATGCTGAGCTTAAGTAAGGGTAGGAATAGATTAAAAAAACGAAAATATTCTAAATATACAGTAGTTTTACAACGAAATTACCAAAAAAAAAAACGGCGTTTCGGGAATACATTTTTATATGTAATATTTTCTGACACGTGGTGAATGCAACAATTGAAAACAACATCTTATTTTATTAGAAAATAAAATATTTAAGAATTTATTGTCGAAACGGAATGCAAGTAGGGTGACGAAAAATTACTAGGCTATTATAAATTCGACATGTGATTGATAATTTTCCAGCACCCGTACTAAATGCGACCACAAAACTGACCAAAATTGATATTTTTGAGGCCTACATAGGTTATAAGATACGGAATATTTATAAAAAAAATGCCAGTTTTTTATTGAAGTAGCTTTTCAGAGAAAACTTGTATGGAGAAGTGTCCACCATTAAAAGATGGTTGTTTTTATTCTGTACCTCTTATTTCTTATTTAGGATTTGTCCGCTGTGTCCTGATGTTTCATTGATCACATAATAACTTTGATGTGTTAATTAAATAATTCACGAAAAAAAAAATATATATATTAAAATGGAATGCATCTCGGGGCCCCAACGAGGGGCCCAAAAAAAATTGTTTGCTCTCTCTTTTATCTCCTGTTTGTTAAAAAGAGTTGAGGAAGCACAATTTAGTAAATCTAAATGTTTTAGAGCGCCTCCGGTCAATGTTTAATTCTTTCCGGAGCGCTATTTTCTGTCTATTCGTGTAATATCGACGTTTACTATAAATGTTTTCTCTGATAGTATTATATTATTGGATTTTAAAGATAATTTCAATCTAAACTTCGTAAAAGTAAAGTACGCATAGAAGAAATAAGAAATCTTTTTCCGCGGGGTAAATTTTCTTCGCGACGGCGCCGGTAAATGCGGAAATATACATTCGATTCGAAGATATTTTGGGACTTTCCACTATCGTTTTCACCTGGCGATTACCCCGATTAAAATTGCCAATTTAGTGATCGTCCCAAAATGCGATTAAAACTCGCCCGAGAAACTCAAATTATGTACCAAAAGTTTAGTCGAGCATCTAATTTATGAGGAACGAAAACTAGACGGCTCCAACTTGGCAATGGAGAAGTCCGATTTTCTTTTGGAAGCCGATTAAACTGATACCGGTAAAGTTTCTCCAGGCGATTAGAACGCGATTTGCAGACGGATTGTTGTTTTACATACTAAAAATTAATTAAAATAAATCGTAAAACGCAGCGGAGTTCGGATCGAGTACGCTGATTTTCGATGTACTAATCCCCCCTCTCAATGTTGTCGCGAATTTGGAATTTTGTCGTAAAGAGCTTTTTTGAAAGCTGTAAATTCGCGACGACTGTCGTTTTCCTTTTAATTTTTTCGTTGTAAATTTGGCGTGCTGGATCCGGACGTCAAAGTCCAAAGTACTTTGTCCAGTGGTATATCTTAAAGGCCCCATTTAAGGTAAACTTATCTGCCCCGGGGATTTCGCTGCGTTAGGAGCGCCTTTTTGCTAGTTGTTCTGCAAACGTATTTTCTTTTTGAGCAATTACCGGTCCTCGCGAGGCGAGTCGGTTAAGAACTGTGAATTGAGGTGCCAAAATAGAAGTTAAAGATTCCATTACATATTATATTGGTGTCTGTAGTCTATGTTAATTTAATGAAATATATGTTTCAAAATCACAATCGTTCGTTTTATTTTAATTTTCTCCTTTATATAGTACCTCGATTTTTACCTGCACCTACTGGTAACTTTAATGTTCCAGTTTTTCACTTAATAAATCTTGAACAAGAACTAATGTTCACATAATATCTCAAATTTCAATTTTTGCAACTGTGATTGCTCTTTTATCTAATCTACCAGTGCGCTAAGCCGACCCTGTCGTAATGATCTTTGAGTTTGTAATACAAACCATTCGATTATTCGAACTTCAAGGTTCAGTAACATAAGCAGGTATATAAATAAAACGTCGTTTAGAAAATTGTTAAAAAGTGCTTTAGGAGCTAATTTTTTGGTTCATAATGTAAGTCTTACTCATTTTTAAAACATCTAGTCATGTATTTGTGATTTAGGAACTATTTACTTATATGATTGACAACTTGACCTAAATAATACGGTTTTTTTCCGCTATTATATACTTTAAAAACTAGATTCAGGCTCACTTTCCTTCAATTTGTATTTTAACTTAAATTTAAAGTAGATTCTCTAGAATTATTTTACATCGCAACAGTCTTGTTTTTATTCTCGGTGTTATCTACAATTATGAACCTACAAATTTCCTCATGAATGATAAGAAGCAGGTTAATAATAAACAAAAAAAATGAATTCTCAGCATATGTATGCACAAAAAACCAATACATTAAAAGTACTGTTAGAAAGTTCAAAAAAAAACTACAAAAAATTTTCATATACAGAAAAATTCTGTAAAATGTTTACAGGACATACAAATACATCCACTGTGCATCCCGATTCACCGAGGATCAAAAAAATTTCTACGAAAACAACGGGTACATCATCATTAAAAACGAAGTCAGCCACGATGAGATCGATAAATTCCAGTAAGTTAGAAAACTTAATTAAAACAAATAAAATACAAAATTCCACTTTCACAATTCCAGTCGAAGATTCCTGGATATTTGCGAAAATCGTTGCGACGATTACACCGGCTTCATTTCCAAAGATCCTGTTTTAAAAAGTAAAGGAATGAAGGGAGAAAAAGTAATAAACAAGGCAAGTACATAGTTTATTCAAAGGTAGCACCTTATTTATTTATTTATTGCATACGTTTTTATCCACAGCTTCAGGATTTTATTCAGGACTCCGTTTTTAGCGACTATTGTTCCAACAAAAAGGTATTGAACACAGTGGAGAACATAATAGGACCTAACATAACAGCGATGCATTCCATGCTCATTAACAAACCTCCAGACTCCGATCCTGATGTATCCAGACATCCGATGCACCAAGTATGTCAATATTTATGCACCATGTACGTTTGGAATTAATTTTCGATCCTGCAGGATTTGCATTACTTTCCATTTCGACCGGCAGAGAAGATAGTCGCTGCCTGGACAGCCATGGAAACAGTCAATGAACAAAACGGCTGTTTGTTCGTTGTTCCTGGATCGCACAAATGCGGTGTATTGTATCCACATTCTTATCCAAAGGTAATAGGATAGCAACAACTATTTTTATATTCTATATAAAATCCTTTAAATAATTTTCTACTTGGATTTTTGGCAAATTTTAATAAGGAAATAATGGTTACATTTTTTAAAGGGTACCAAAAACTCTTTGTACCATGGTGTTCATGGAATGGCACATCTTCCGAAAGTTAACGCTGTAATGGAGAAAGGCGATACGATATATTTCCATCCTCTGCTATTACATGGATCTGGGCCTAATTATACAAAGGTGCGTAGAAGATAGGAGTATTTTTTTTAATTACTAATCGCTTCTATTAGGGTTTTAGAAGGGCAATTTCTTGCCATTTCGCCGACTCAAACTGCGAGTTTATTGATGTAACGAACACTACACAGCATAATATTAAACAAGAAATCGAAGGGATGGTTCAGAAACGATTAGGCATTAAATTGGATTACAGGGTGAGCAAAGTTTCAAAAATATTGAAATTTTCAAGGAAATCAAGAGAGCTTCATCGTATTTTATTTGGTTTTAGAACGCGTGGAAAACAAAAAGCAAGCTAATAAAGGGACAACCCGGTAATTTCCAAAAATATGATTCCCATTTATGAACAATTCTAGTACCTTAAGGTACCGAAAACTTTTTATGTGATATTTTATAGGTTTGTAAGTAGCTAGCTACATTTAAATTTATATTTTTGGTACAATGTAAAAGTCTTAAATGATAAACAATACTTTTTATTTACATTTATAATAAAGTACAAATAATGTAAGTATATTGTTTTCTATAATAACCGGCTCTTCGATGCAAATTAAAACGAGGATTAAACAATTAAAAAAAATGCCAGTTTATATAATCCCTTTTGCACAAAGGGAAAATTAATAATAAAATTAATCTTGTGAAAGGAATTTTGCTGCCCTCATTAATCAGGAATGTACAAATGCAATATTGTCAGTAATACTGCTTCAAATTAACATACTACTTTGAGCATACAACATTAATTATACAAGGCACAAAAGCTAAGTAGCTGTTAAGTATATTGTTCAATATATCACACCTGGATAAATATTTCAAAACCCTACAATTTATTTCCGTATTAAACGAAAAAAAAAAAACACATCAATAATTAATAAAATGAATTAAAACAATATTAAGTCGATAATTAATCGAATCAATAAATCGTATATTCTAGAACTGACTATTTTTATATCACTAATACTTAAAAATGTTTGTAAATTTTATCAAGGCAACTCGTAACACTCATATACGAATATTCTCGTATATTCGAGGGTAAGTTAATACTTTCGATTAATTGGATAATTTTTCATAAATTCTATAAAAGCTCGGCGATTGTTTTAATCAACGCATTCATTTTTCTACATTACTTTTTTGATAAGTAACATTTCGTTTTGTTCAAAGTAAAATTAGAAATTGGAGAAATTATTGCATTTATATGTACTTAAGGCCTTTTGTTCATTGAAAATATAGGAACTTGTTTTAATTTAAGTACTTGGTAACATAATAAATAAATAAAATGTTGGAAGAAACCGTTTACGCGAAATTATTCTCCAATTTATTATTAATGCAATAATCGCCCATAAATCAATCGATAAACAGATAAAGCGTTAAGAAAACTCATTCACTTTTTATATGGCATAATAATAACAGTCTAGCAATTTCGTTAAATATTTAAATAAACTTTCTTTTAAGTATTTCATTGTAAGTACTACAAAAATAAATAAAATTCCAAAAAACAAATACAGGAAATTCAAGGCGTTCATTGTAAACTTTAAGCCAATAGACTCGAATTATTCACACTCATCGACTTCCTGTAGGTACGCGTGAAATTCATCACATACGAATTAATTATCCTAACAATTAAACGCCGATTCTTTCGTGACTAACCAATAAAATCGATACATCGAATAATTTTACACCTGATTTTGATGATATTCCGGCCGACCGGCCAATTGCAATAAATAACGATCCGGATGATCCAGCCAATCGTCGGCGCTCAATTTCACAACCCGTTGTTTTTCGGCCTCTTTCACTTCCCATTTCTTCACTTCGAGCTGTCGCTCTCTGCTCACCTGATCACCGCAACCCCACACTTCGACGCTCTCCAAAAAATAGGGAATCTTCTGCCATTCGATCTGTTCCCGAAAATACGAATAAATTATAAAAGTACTCGTAATAAACGATTAGGTACCTTCTCGAAACCTCCATCGATACTAATTATAGGAGCGCGCGGATCTTTACCAACTCTAAGCCCGTGAGGATATCCTCTAACGCTAAAATTTAAATACAACATTTTCGGTCCTTTTTCCAGCAACTGAAACCTAAAGTATACAACAGAGAATTAAACGAAATAAACGAATCGACAGCCGCCCCAATTTACTTTGGCAGTAGCTGAAAGACGGCGCATTCGTCGCCGCCCCAATAATGATGAGATTCCCGCCATTCGTTGCACGAGGCTATGCAAAACTTTTGGCCGTCTTGCACGCGGAGCACGATCAACGTGGGGCCCTTGTAGTTCATCACGTGGTGCACGAATCGATTCGAACCCAAGCCCATTTCGTCCGAATCGTAGAGGATGCACCAATGCGAAGGAATTGCACACACCAACTTCGCCAGAAACGAAGCGCTCGCCAGACCTGCAACGAAATATATTCCTGTTGAAGGGGGGTACTTCGGGTGAAAGGGATGGTTCTTACCGGTTCCGCTGCTGCTCGGCGAATGGGCCTTTTGCGGTCTGGAATAGAAGGCGGGAAGGGCGCCGGCCAACAGCCAGGACATGCTCATGGTGAGCATGTGAGGATGGGGTTTCACCTGCGGAAACGGATTGGATTCTTCCAGTACGGGCGTGGCTAGTTCCAATCCTGTAGATCATTTTTTTGGGCTGGTTTAATGGGCTTATTAATAAGCTGGGAAAGACGTAACAATAGCGAAAAGAGACACGTTAAATGGGTTCACACCCGTAAATAAATGGGAGAATAATGAATAATATTAAGCTTGTTGATTGATTGATACATAGAGGCTTTGAATATCGAAAATTAGTATTGCTTGTCACACTTTTCTACTAATTAATTTCTACGTACGAGTAGAGTATTTCTTACCTTTGGAGTCTTCTATTGTAGCGTTACGTTGAAAAAAAAAATAGTGCCGATTATTATTAAATAATTCTTGTATACAGAATTTTACGTGAATGAGAAAAGTTGTGTGGTTAAAATGAATGGACTCTATTTAGTGTATAATACAGAGGAGTGAATATCGATCGAAATAATTCAGATAATGTCGTGAAAAGCATTAAGACGTAAGACCTTATCCAATTTTATATTCTAAGAAAGATTTAAAAGTCGTATTTATTCCGAAGAATGCCTCTTTTATTTAATGAATATCAAATAAACCGTTTGTGTGTTCGATTAGGTCAATTGACAATTCTAAAAAAAAACATTACGATAAAATTGATATGCGATGATTATAGCAAATACCTAAAAATGAATATATTATGCAAATATTAGGTATTTACACAAACACATTAATTAATAGTAAAGTAAAAAATATATATAAACTATAAACGCTCGAAAGTGATCTTTAATTACATTAAAATTGATAAGGCTAATGAAAAATTTCGAAAATTTACTAGATAAATGCAGCGCATCGTGCCGATAATGTTCACGTTATTGAATGGAAATTTATTTAATATCGGCATAGCAAAATAATCCGAATAATTCGACTTTTTTTATTCTGCTTGAATAGTACATAAAATGCGTTATCCTAAGTACTCCGTAAAATACCAATTAACATTCGTAATTACCTATTATTTTGCTCGAATGAAAACCCTGAATCTCACAAACTAAATTGTTAATCGTAACTGCATTAATTCGATATATTTCTATATAATAATAACTTAAATCTTTCCTAGCTTTAGAGCGAGGAACGAAATAAATAGACGATAAAGTTTCGACAAGCAACGACACAACATTTACCAGAATTTGTATTTTACCTGCATATCGAGCAATATCGCAAGATTCACCTAAGAAAAATATAAAACAATATACATAACAAATTCATACCTAAATTTCTATCAATTACCTGTACCCGATATAGCTTAAGAAGACCCACTCGATACAGCCTAAAACTATTCGTATTAATTCCCAAAAATAAATCTCCCATCGAGTCTCACAGGTAAGCTATTTCAGGTACAATTCATCTACTTAAACAACACTTACCGCTGGCCAAATTCGGTTCGCATTGCTCCAAAGTCCTCCAAGACGTAGCCAAAGAGTGTACGGCGTATCGGTGAAGGGGAAACAACAATCTCGGTATGTTGGTCTCGATCCAATGGCAAACGTATTGTACCGATAGACTTTTCTTCGAGTGAAAACAACTGTCGACGACCGCCTTGAGGGTCTTGTTGCACGACAGGCACATTTGGGGCCCTTCCGAGTAATGATCCATGCTAATGTGATAGGTGCACATGAGCAACGATGTCATATCTTCGGGGGTGATCGTTTCGGAGCCGGTTTCGTCGTTGGGGGAAGCCCACATTTTCACCAGCGTGTCTCTGATCGCTTCGTCGTCTAATATCTGTTTTGTTAACACGAAAATATCATTATTACTAATTTATTATGTTTCTCAAACAAAGAGTGACCGGTCAAGGTTGATATTTTATGGAAAATCGAATAAAATAATACTTACGCTTAAATATATTTCGCATTGCTGTTTAAAGGCGTTCAAGCCGATGTATTGGTTTTTGGATTTGCTGAGTTTGAGGAAATGGTCGAAGAGCTTCTCGCCCAATACTTGGTATCGGGGAAAGAGGAATCTCTGCGAGAATATAAATTTCGATTGATTTGTTTTTTGTTCGTAATCGTATGATAACTTACACCGAATACATTCTTCGAAATCCCATGGATACCCTCTAATTTCTGAGATTTTTCGGTTAGAATCTGCAAAACGAAAACATACAGTAGGTGTCCTTGAAAATACTTAACGCATTTGCGATAAAAGTGTTGAAATTTACGTAAGGAAAACGCGCGCTTGATTTCTAATAAAACAAGATTTTCTCTGATAAGATACGATTCAAGTACGTCACCTTTGCCAATTTTTCAACAGGTAACAGTTGGCTGGTGTTCTCCTGGATATCTCCCCCGGAACTGGTCCTTGTGATGCTTTTCCTTGAACCATTGTGGGAACTGGCAATTGAATTCGGTGTAGCCGTTCCGGATTTCGAGCCGTGTCCGTGTTGATTTCCCATTTTAATTAGAGTTATCTAATGTTTTAAAGCCACATTCTTTAAGAGACGATGTTAAGCAGCAGCAAGTTTCAAGTTTAAAAGTCAAATTGACTGACCTCTCTCTGTCTCACACTCGCTCGCGCTCCTCTCTGTCGGACACTACGATAAATGACAGCACTTTTGACATAAGTTAATTGTCATGTGATTCTTCTTTCTGTAGATCGAGTAGTTACTATTATAGGACTTTGGTTACTTTTTAATTATTGATACAATCATAAATAATTATGTAAAATTAATAAACTAGTACGCTAATATGTATAATTAAACGTTTTAATATTGCATGTGCATGATATCCATATATTTTTAATACTCGTTGTAGTGTTCTGTGTTTGACGTTTCACGTGCTGCCATCTTCTAACAAGTCGACTAACTAAATAAAAGTCACATGTCACATGTTGGTAAATTAGTTCAAATGTTCGGTGTAAATGTGTCGCTAGTGCCTTAATAATATGCTATTTTCTCATTTTGTTTTGGCTATTTGTGATAATTATAAAATATTGTTAATCGTAATAGTGTATTCAAATATCTCGGAAATTGTTTAGGAGGAAATGATCTGAAGGAAGTCTGAGGTGAGTCATTTTTTTTTCTGTACAAAATCAAGTTAGGCACGCGTTATGAATTATTTCAGAAAAAGCAAAGTAGACGGTGATTTAATTAGAATAAAATTTCGCTACAACAAACGTTACATATCCCTAACTTATTAGATTTTTTAAAGCATAGAGACCAACAAGCTGTTATTTATTTTTCATCACACTATACACAACCCGGCTTAAAATTTGAATTCCCATATTTTTTCCTATCCTCTATTTTCATAGCCCCGAGTAGATTACATTCAAGCGAGTAATCCGCGACATCGAACTCATCCAAAAACCGTCCCCCGCCCTTCCCAAAAATCCCACACATCATTTTACTTTTACGACGCCCTTACAACAGTCGGAATAACAACAACACTCCGCAAACTCATTGTAAACTAAATGGCAACCATCAAAAATATGGCACATAAGCACACGCATCCCTCCATATAAAATCCACCTTTTCGCACGACAAGCGACCCTATCGACCGGAAAAATACGGCCTATAGCCCGGCTAGTCCGGGCTCGTTGGGGTGTCACGTATGAGCATAACAAAAGAGCCTCGCTCACAATGCCCTGGACAATTGACAGCCCTAAACTCATTATTGTAACAAAAGACTGTCATTGCCTGCATAAAAACCTCATTAAAGTCCGTTTCCCTCGTTATAAGTTAATAACACGATACGCGCTGTCCGGTATCCCACAGGATTTTAAATCTCTCTGTATATGGAACTCTGATGAATTGCGGTTCTCTATAGGTTAAATCAAAAACCTTCATTTTGGGTACAGATTTAATGGGTGTGATATTTAAATCGTCTACATAAAAGTACTTTGAGAAATTGGTACTAAAACAATGTCAAAATTTGTTCTTAGTGTATAGAACTACTAGAAATAATTGAAATGTTAAGCTGAAATCCACATAATACACTCATTAGGATTTACAAATTACAAAGTCTTCTCATTTACTTTTGGTGGATACGATATAGTTAATTTAAAATTGGTACTAAAGCAATGTCAAAATTTGTTCTAACTAGAACTACTACCAGAAATAATTTAAATATTAAGTTGAAACTCTCATTAGGATTTACCGAGCGGGTACTTCCTGTAATAGTCCCAAAGCATCTCATTTACTTTTGAACATATATCGATAAAAATTGGAACTAATTATCAAATTGTGATCAAGAACTGACTATAACAATCAAATGAAACAGTAAATCTTTAAGAACGGTACAACTACATATTACTTAAAAACTTTATTGCGTGATATATGAAGATCATTCGTTTAACCCCCTTATAAATTAACCTCATAACGACCGTGTAGAATAGACCCCAAAAGCTTAACAGAGTTCAATTTCCCTCTTTTGCTTTTGCTGTTCTGTTCTGGTTCGTTTTCAGCGACACGACAATCCCGAAACCGAAAACCGTCGGACCGTAAAGAGTCATCTGTTGTTAACAATTATGGGGCAACTTAAGAGACACAATGGAATCCCCGTTCCATAATAGAGTCGATGGATAATAATGGACTGCCATTATACGGTATATTGTACGCATTGAAATTAATCGGTTGTGAATTATGAATTTATTCTTGGTCGGGGTGTTTTCGTAGAACGATAATTTGTTCTGTTGATGGGTATATGAGAAATCGGTTGTATATAGTTTGTATTGGGCTCTATTTGGGTTCAGGAATTGATATAGAAGATGATAGAAGAATTTTCCATGTATTGAGATAGGTGTATATTAACAATTAAAGGTTGAAAAGCTTCATGAACACAAATTTATTCTCGCTGTTAGAACCAACAAACAAACTTTAGAGCAAATAAAATTAAAAACCGGCGTGAAATGGCGATAAAAGTTGGGCGCATTGAGAATTCGTCGGGGCTTCTAAAGCGGTCGCAGGAGAGGAAAAGGTATGATTTTATTGGACGCCCTCTCGGAGGGACAATATACTGAGTAGTTGAGAACCGCAAAGTACGCTTTCAGCTTTTTAAAACGGCTCCCTTAGCCCCAAATGACGATCGATCTGGCGCTAAATCTGCGAAATTTTAGCGGCCTTTTGAGATTACCTCGAACGTTTCGTACGATTCATGGCGTTTCGTTCGAAAGCTCTCTCTTTCTCATTCTCCCTTTTCTGCATACAAATTTCGACCTGGAACTGGGAAATTATTGTTCTCTGTTGATGTAAATCGATTTATGATCGATGAACTATCAGAGTTGATCACACTATTTTCGAGATATTCTGATGTGTAGCTAGTAGGAATGTTTACTTTATTATAAATAATTTTAATCACTTTTTAACAACAACTTATAATTGTACAAATTGAATTGAAAATCTTTAAATAGTCTTATTTAGGCGTAATCTTCTATTATTCCTTACCACCGCGACCGAAAATTCCATCTCTGAAGTTTTGCAGTTTATTCTGATAAAAGAAATACGATGGGAAAAATTATTAAAAATTTCGATGAAATAATATGATTATTTACCTTCATTTGCTGAATACCGGCGTTGGTGTAAGCGAGAAGTTCCTCTTCTAATCTCTTGATGTCCTTGTAAATCTGCATTTGTTCTAATTCTTCATTTTTGGCAGTCAATTCAATCACGATTTCTTGGTAACGTTTATCTGCTGCATCACTTCCATATTGATGCACAACATTACCCTGTATTACAATAAATTTATAAGTAAATTCCACTTTATTATATATACAAAAATATAATTACCATTTTATTGGTCAACCAATTACCCCAATCGTTTACATCCCTTTTTCGCATCTAAAAAAAATCATTTATTGGTCAATTTTTAGTTTAAATTTTGATGCTACATATTTCATTATAAACTACTAGTATTTTAACTCTTTCTCCTCCCTTATGGGATAACACAGGACGTTTGAAATATGAGCTTTTACCTAAATCCTGAAATTTATGAGATTTAATTTCAAAATGCCTTGTTTACTATCAATCCGCTTTCTTTTAAATTTTTAATATTGTTATAAATACGAATGCACTTTGTCATGCTTACCACTGATACATCGCTTCTATCAAATGCTTCTGAGTAGCATACTAATGCACACAATAACAAACCTAGAGCAATTATTCGAGTCATAGTGTTAGATTTTATTAATCAAATTACTAGCACAGAGCTTTCTGCATACGGTTAAATAGTCGAATATTTATCGAAAAAAATGATTGTGTCGATATAATTTCGATTAGCGTATTTATGTGTATGTAGTTGATAAATTATAAAATATTTTTAATGCTTATCCATATTTTTGGATAAATATCCAAATCCATTCATATTTCTGCGTGTTTTGATTTATACGAACATTTATTTAAATTCTAATAGGTATCTACATTAAAATTGATTAAATTCATAAACATTGCAAGTCAATGTTACAAGATTTGTTAAAATTTTATGAAAGGAAAATCCTTTATTTAGTTTCTGCGATAAGGATTAGAGAAAATAACTTTTTAAAAATAAAATCTTATCTTATTTTGCAAACTAAATTAATCGACTTTCTATCGAGATAATCTCGGAAAATAAATTGGATTCCCTTAAGTAATTAATATAAGAAAATAATTTGTATAATTTTTAATATATCCCACATTTCCCTCTTGTTAAAAGTACCCTGTACCAATTTCCTCTAAATAACTTTACTGAAATGTTTATGAAAATTATTGAAAACGATTCCATCGAAATTCATTTCTCCCAGTACCTAAATATTTATCTTTACGCTTGATTTTCCCGTCTATTTTTGGTGATTATTAATGCAATAATAAAACAGTATTTAGAATATGTTTACTTAATAACTTGATTGATAAGTGATACTAAAAAATCAAAATTTTAACGTTCGTACTTCAGCTACTGTTCTGTTCTTTTTTGTACAGCATCTCAAACATTCCACCACAATCACATTATCGAATAAATAATAAAAATAAACAAGAAAAAAGAACTTTCTAGATAATACAATTGCCTAAATATTTACCAACATTTAACAATTTTTTATTCTTCAATAATAATATAGAGAGGTAATTTGTTTCCATCATTTGCAGATTACCTTTTGGTGGAATTATTAGGTTAGCGAAAGCGACACGGGCCGAAATTGTATCGAACCTATCATCATCCGCCATAAGTAGTTTAGTTTAGCGCGATAGGGGCACTTAACACTAAACCGAATTAATTTCTGGAGCTTTAAAGTTAAGTAGACTTGCCAACGCCTACACAACCAGTTTCTAATTTGAACCAGATGATTTTTAATGTCTCGAAATAATCGGGAGGTTTATTTTACGAGGCGTCGGTTTTACGATAGGTGATATGTTTTTCATCGGGGAGACTAAAACAAAAATTTTTCTATCCACCCAAAAACATATCGATCGAAGATAAAAGAGTTTTTCGATACAGCCCTGCAAATTTCCAACTTCGAAACTCTTATTAAACTCGTTTAATCCATCTCATCCATTCCGACGAAATCGATTAAATTAAACCAAATCTGCAAACAATCGCGCTCGTCTTTCGCCATATTTTTAGCTCGATTTACCCCCGTCGATTTCCCTCCGCCCTCTGTCTAGGACTTGCCGAACACGAATTCAAATTAACTCCTCATCGAAGACTTTACTAAAGATAAATTTAAGTGGATTATTGAGGAGTGTTTTCCACTTAGGACAAAGTGCATCAATTTCCATCATAAACATAGGGAGCGACGAGTTTTTGAGCCGTCCCCGGCTTAATGGATAAAGAGACGGGGGCGGATTTCGCCAATTTTTTTCTTTATTATATGTTGCTCGATTTATCTGTAGGGGTTGTTCTAAAGGGGTGGGAAAATGAGCGGTGCAGGTCATTTCTCTATTTTTCGATTGGAAAAAGGTTCAGAAATCGACGTTTCGAAGCAGGAAATTCATCATCTTAGGTGTCATATAAGTTTTTAAATTTCTTAGGAAACCACCCAGATCAATATTTACGCCACCTGCGCGAATTTTATCGCCCATTAATATCCTCTATGACACATTAAACCGTACGAAAACCGATAAAATTTCACAATTTTTAATGGCCTGACGCCAATTGGGGATTTTTTTTGGAAGAACCGCGTTCTCTGAACCAATAAAAGTGTGCTAGCAAAAAATAATCTACAAATTTCGAGTGTTCTAATCATTTCGGTTGCTGGGACAAATGAGGACCGACCACCCATGAGCTGATTATTTGCCATAAATGAGCCAAATCCGATTAATACTGCATTGAAAAGGTAACGCAATATTTTTATACGGAATATACATACGAGGTTTTTTTTTGCTGGTCCTGTATAATTAAAAATACTTGTTGCAACTCTCTCTAAAAAATGCTACAATGATCTAATCTGAATTTAATAAACTGCTTATGCAAAATCGCAAAAAATGCAGTGTTTGCGTTACCTTTTTTGACAAAATTCAGTAACTCGTGAATTCGATCTGGCTTCTAAGTAGCCGGATTTTTTTCACGATTTTAACACTTTTTTTGATGCCGCCTTTAATTTACGACCTCTCGAATAAACAGATGTTGCTCTTATGCTTTACCTACAAGAAAAAAAAAAACCCGAAGTGTGCCACCCCTATTGAAAAAAATCGTCGCTTTGAAAGATTGTTACCGGTGACAAAGTTGCTCGAAAATTGATTAAATTATGTTAATTTACGAGAGCAAGTTTAAATATATTTGGTGGAAAACTAGGAAAAATTGTAGTTAAATTTACTCGATAAAAAATTGAACCTAAAATGCTACATTGATCTATGAAAGAAATTTTTAGGTACATAAAAGTTACAGATACAGGAAATTTATTATTCCTTAAAGTTTTTTTAAAGCTTTTTTTAACCAGTTTATCGTTTGATATAGTTCAAAATTATCAAGAAAATACGAGAGGCATTAAAAATTTTAGTACAAAGATAGGTACTTTCAAAATTTTAATATCAGTTACAAAAGCATTATAAAAACAATTAAATCTCACTGGGTCCATCTTCAACACCAGTAGTTGTAATAATGACACATTTTATGAGCAAATTCAGTTAAAATGTTACCAACGAGTATTTCACCTTTCCTTCTAGGAATAAACTGGTTATACGACTTACCGAGCGCCTGCTTGTTTAAACTCCCCGTCTTTTAATAATATAATATCTAACTAAACGCCATTCCTTTCTAATGCTATGTACAAACTGATGGCTAAGAGAACGATTAAAACTATTAATGACCAAGTTACAGCTGACCACTGAAATAAATCATCCGAGGAAGAGAGAGATTTGTTGATTAAATAACTGATTTTGTTGATAAATTGATGCTTATAGATAAGAATTCAGAATGTTGATAAATGACAATTTATACAAGTGTTAACTAAATTTGAAGTTTCACTGAGGTAGATTTGCAACAGTTTATAGTTCATACATCAACTTGGCGAAATCAGAATTGAAATTATACACTCCATTTTTCCACAAAATATTAAATATCATCATTTATTGTACCGAAGCTATTATACAATCTAATACCCGGATCGGTCTTGCTCGCAATCCAACAATGCTCGATGTAACCAATTAATCACGACGACCAATAGAAATTTATTATCAACAATTTCCGGTCGACAAATCCCCTTCTAGGTCGCGCCAATGCCCCATAATACATAACTTCATCCTCATTGATCTCCTATTATGTTTCACGGTACCCGGACACGCATCATCAACTAAGAACAAATCCTCCCTAATCATATTACAGCCAAGCGATTCCCCCGTACCTAATTTTCCTTCCCTGCTCCCTCTGTTCCATTCCCACAACGGCTTCGCCCCTCGATGGAATCGAGCTCTGGCGAAAATAGCCAATTCATTTATTAACACGCTAACTATATTATGTCGCTTTCGAAAGGGTGTTGATCTTGCAAATGGTTGTGTTTAACACGCTAAAAAATTGGGTTGGTAGAGATTTGTATATGGAGTTTTGTAGATGATTTAAGAGTAGGGTAGTTCTGTAGATAACATTAATGTAGATATCAGAATAATCGATTGGCTGTTACTGAAAAATGCAACATAACAACGGAATCCTAAATACCCCGCGATTATAATTCCTAAAACCGCATCGAATACAATACCAACAAAAAAAAAATCGCGAAACGAAAATCCCGTCTCTTCGACGCAAAAACCCAACGGACTTAACATTCCTATCGGCGCGTTTTCGCCGGCTTTTGTATTCCGGAATAGAAGTTTTTTTTCGCGTGTCGCCGCTCTACAATCAATCAAAAACCGTCCCGGATCGAAGGGAGTTTCGAGTTTGACTTCGATTCGAATCGGCCTTTGTTCTCAGCGATGGTAGAACGAAACAAAAAAAAAAAAACCCGGCCCAGCCGCTGTTCTGACGTTAATTAGATCGCCAATGTCGCATATGTTAGATTTTTAGTGTCGCTCGTAATTTCGATGCGACGCCCTTTTCCTCCTAATGATATACCGCAAAAAATTGCCAGTTTATATGATTAATGAATTGGCCCATTAGCGGAATTCCTGCGTTTGTTATGCAGCGTCTAATTGCGTACGTAATTTATTATCTTCATTGTTCGTTTTTTTGTCTTCATCTTAAGTCATCCTCGAGAGGGTTCCAAGTTTTCATTATCGCGAATTTTCGAAGGTTGAATCAATGGGTGTTTAGCCCTAAATTTGATGGAACTTTTAACCACAATTTCCTTACACAGAAAATTTCAAGTATCTTTTTTAGCTTTTACCGAAGTTACAGCGCCTCAAAAACCTCATTCATCGGTACTCTGATACATCATAATTCCCGTCCTCCGGTGTCATCCGTGAGGGTGCGATCGATCAAATCGAATTAACGCGAAACAAACCCCGTTTATTCGCCGGGAATTAG